TGTCCTAGTGAGTTTTTTTTGTCTTTGCTTTGAAATTAATGCCAGCATGATTTTCAAGAAGGATTTGTTAGTTGTCTTAATTGTTTTCTGGAAGCCAGTCTTACATTTAAATGATTTCTGCACTTTATTGCACCATACTTACCATTTACATAAAATAAAATTTGTAACTTGATGCTGCTTACTAATGATGATCGTGTCACTCAGGGGGCACAGTACAGTGCTGGGAAGTTCTGTCTTGTCTGTAGAGGATGATTTGGCTGAGATTTGCACCCTGCAGATTTCATTGGAACACTGGGAAAGGTGGAACTTGGCCTGGGATGGCTTTGCACAGTGCAGCCCTAAATGTCAGTATTGAGTGGGTTTTGAAGATCAAAACATAGCAACATACTCCTATAAAACAATTCAAGAAGCAAAATACTAACTCTTGCTGAAGTCTAGAAAGCTACTTTAGCTATATTGGTTCTTTGTTTTATTTTATTGCACTGCAAGTGAAACAGAGCTTTGAGACACAAAATATGGCAAAGAAATGGATGGCAGAAGCAAAACAAATCTGATGGGGTGTTGTGAGTTGTAGTTACCATAGATGGATCTCAGTTATGCTTTACCCTCACTTGTCTTACTCTTTTTTTACATAAATATGTCAAAACTTGTGTTGAAGTGAAGGCACTAGGATTCATTAGGCTTTCTGAAATCCTTGAGGAAACATACCTGAGCTTTATTGCAGTTTTCCTGTTGCCTCAGTCCTGAGCACGACAAGTCATGGTGATGCTAATCAAATCAGATGGTGATCAATCCATACAGACTGGAAGGGGGCTTGCAGTGCTGGGGGGACCCTTGCACCTGCAATTTTTCTTGTCACATTTTTAAGACTTAGTAAAAGAGAATCACTTAAATATCTACCAGTAAAAGAGAATCGCTCAAATATCTACCAGACTACTTTGTGATTGTTGAGCATTTCCCCCCCCCCCCCCCCCCCCCAATTCTGTACTGCAGTCTGGCATTATGAGATGCAAATTGGGAATAAGTTTTAATTTCCTTAGTTTGACACAGGCATTAAAGGTGGTTGGTTAGCCCATGTCCCACCCCTTTGGCCAAGTAGAGAGGTGTAGGAAAAAAAATCCAAGAACAGAGCAAAGCTGAATCCTCAGAGTTTCCAGTGGCTGAGGGTTCAGGGAGTCCCCAGCCCACCCCTCTAACTCGGGGGTCAGTAGTCACTGAGGCCCACACTGCAGTGGGTATTACTCAGGTATTAAGTATGTCTGTGTTTAAATACTTTCTGAATACTTAGGTGGCCACAGCAGCCTGTGGCTGAGTTCCAGAACTTTTTTTTGTGACAATAATACTTCCTTAATCTTCTTATCTTTTTTTTTTTTTTTTAATTTGATGCTTTATATGTTTGTGTTATGAGAAGTGGTAAATTACTGTTCTCTGTTCATGTTCTCCATGACATTCATGGTTTCCTGTGTCTATCATAGCTGTTACCTCTTCCAGGCCTGGAATATTTTAGGTTATTAAATCTTCTTCTTGAGAAGCTGTTTTATCATACCTCTGCTTGTACATTTTTTCCTTTCATTATTCTTAGCATACTTTTTTTTTTTTAACTACTAATACAGTGTAAATTCTATTAGGCTTAGAAATGGAGAGTGAAAACGAACATTAAATCCTCATCTGTGCATAACATGAGCACTTGTTCAGCCACTAAACTTTTAAACTCTGAAGATAGAAACAATGCTTTTGTTCTTAAAGGAGGCATTTGTAGCAGTGTACAAATCTATGTCCTTTGGAATACCTCTGAACACCAGCTGAATGGTTTTTCCTTACATTAGTAGATGTGGTGGATCGGAATGTAGGATAAAAACCATCATATTTAAAACCAGACATCTTGCATGCTTTGCACAACTGCAGTATAAGAGGCCTCTGTTTGATCTCACAGAGTGGTCAGTGTGGTTATTGTAACTGAATTTGAGGTATGCCAGAGAAGGAAGAATTAATATAGAAGTAAGAGAAAACAACTCCACTGCAACGTCTCAGAAGGAGACAAAGCATTATATGACAAAAGTAAACTTAGAAATGCTGCCACCTGATGAGGGAAGTAAAAGAAAGGTAACTCAAGGAAACACTGAGGTATTTTATGGCAGAAAGGATCTTTTTCAATATTGTAACAGTATTCTTCCTTATAATAGCACTGAGTTTATCATGGCATTATTTTATTTGTGCTTCCCTCTTTCAGTTCAAATATCAATGAAGTTTGGGTTATGCTTTTCTGTTTGTTTTCTTTTAAAAAAATCCTAATTATTTGAATTGGTTGAGGAGTCAGGTCTAATCAGGCAAAAATTCTGTCAGTTCTTTGAGATATCTTCAGCAGTCCTAAGATTTCTTTCTAGAGATAAAATTCATGGGGAATTACCTAATTTGCTGTGTGGTTCAATGAATTTTTCTGCTGACATGAGAAGCTGTCCCACTGTCACCCTTACAATTAAAGCAGCAGTGTGTTTACTGGTGCCATAACTTGATAACCACTTAATGTGAAAATATGAGTCAGCTTTCTTTTTATGAACTATACTTTCTCTTCCACAGAAGACAATTATCTTCCTCCAGAAAGTTTAAATTGGTCTTTTTAAAGCAGTCTTTTCAGTTGAAAATAAATAGCACTAATATAGTTAGTGACTGGGGAATTGCTAAATAAGTCCTACAGATTTGGCATCCTTTCTTCTTTTCCTTTCTTCTTTTTCCAGGCCTGTTTCATTTGCCACTTTGTTCTAACATTTACACAGCTCCTCAGCTGTGCCTGCCCTCCGTGATGCCAGGCTTCCATCGCTCCTCAGCGCTTGAGCATGTTCCAAACTTGTGATATCCTGCAATGCCTTTGGACAGTGATGGCCTCAGATGAAGTGCAGTAGATGCCTATCTGGGTTCTGATTTGTGCACTGTGTTTGTACTCAAATGGCTGAGCACTTCTGGTGTTGTGGTGTTACGAAACTTGATCTTGCTACAGCGGGGCTCACAGAGCTGCGCTTGCAAATTGCATCTGCTGCAGGCTTTGGTTCATTCCTCTGCAGCAGGTAACCTCTCCTCTGCAGCAGGTCACCTTGGTGCTGCTCTGTCCCTGGCCCTGCACTGGAGGGGTGAACATTTCCTGAGTCACCGTGTTCCCTCTGGAACAGTTTAAAAAGTGTAGTGGGTAATGTCAGCATCTTGCAGTTTCTCAAAGCTTTTAATGCACTGTTTGACTTACAGTGTGCCTTCAGCTGGATTGGGGTAATGACCCAATTAAGTGAATGGAGAGAGGTTTTTACAGTGACTTTTAAGTGTGATGAAAAGTGGAGAAAGGCTGTTTACATTTAAGGCCATTACAGAAGGTCAGTTGAGCAGTTTCATACTTGCCAAGGAACCTCATGTGTTTGGTTTGAGACTTTCTTGTCTTGCTCATCCTCCCCCCACGGCAGGAGCAGTGGGAGGTGTTTGTAGGCCAGGAGACACTGGGGTTGTAATGTAGCTCTGGATATTCTATTCACTTAGAGAAGCTGCTTCTTAGTGCTGTGCCTTTCCCAGCTGTGTCCAGGGCCAGATTCCCACGTCTTTCCTGCAGTGGGTACCTTTTTTCAGAGCTATGTGTCTGTTACATGGCTGTGCAGGTGTGTACAAGGTGCTGTCACCCACTGTTGTGACCTGCTCAGTGGAGCTTCACTTTCTGAGGGGTGAAGGGCTGAGCTATGTACCTGCAGGCTGAGGTGTCTGTGTTAATATGAATTTCCTGTTCTTGTGTTACTGGAGAAGCCGCAGTTTCCCTGCCCCTCATTTGGAACTTCTTTACTGGTAAGGTACAGGGTGATACTACATTTCCCTCTTCCCTCCTCAAGACTTAAGACTTTTTATGACGTTGCTCTGCTTGATGCACTATTCCAACCTTTTTTTATAGTCAGCAGCTTCTTAAAGCTGCTGTAGCTGAATCCTTTCTAGATAAGAGTTTTTAAACAACAGAAGAGGCGAGGTGATGTCATTCCTTTTCACACAGCTATTCAGAGCTCTGTTGGAAGCAATGAAAGCTGGTTGGTTTTCTGCTTCTGAAACAGAGATGAGCTGAGAAGCAGTAGAAATAGCAGTAGAAATATTCAAGCAGTCCTTGTATAGTCCTGTGAAAATGTTGCTGTGTTAGTCATGATGCCTGTTTTTCTATTTGCCAACTGGAAGAACTTTGTGGAAATTATGGCGTTACCACAAGAAGAATTAGTTTTGGTCTTTGAGAATACATTGACTTTGGTCAATAACAGTACATTTTCTTGGTCAAAATAAAGTCTTTGCATTCCTAAGCCTTGAAGTTTTTGTATTCTTGTTTTTTTCTTCCATTCACAGCTGTGTGCAGAGCTACTGTTCATAATAGATGAGTGTAAGTCTCATTCACAACATGCATAGTAAAATGCTGTAAGCAAAATGGTGAATAAATAAATTAATATTTTTTTCTTTTAAAATATCTGAATAAGGTACACAAAAGCATGCTAATTTGCAAATATCTTTCAAGTTTCTGAGACCTGAAATGTGAAAACAAATTAGTCAAATGTAGTGTATTTCTATTGACAGCAGCCTTTCTTGTTTTCTCAGGCTGCCCTTTTAAATGTTGCCCCACTGGCTGCAGGCATGACTACAAGCCCCACTTGTTCTTGGGAAACAATGCAGCTTTACTGCACATCTTCATATGAAAAGCTTCATGCCCCTCCTGTATCATCCCCCATGTACTTCATCATGAGCTCTTGACCACACAGGGTGCATCAAGCACACAGTAGTAATGTTGGGGGAATACAGAAGGAGCCAAGACTCAGACTGGAGTTCATCAATGTGGCAGTTGATCACTGAATACTCCTTAGTAACTTATTTTATGGATTTGTGAAATTAAACTGTTTGAAAACTGTGTTTCTCTGACCATGCTTTTGTGTGAGTATTGATACCTTTAAATATTGTATTTTCCTGACCATGCTCCTGTTAAAGATATCTTAATTTTTCAGGTTGCAGTTGTTAAAATGAAGTGTACAGAGCGCATTTATGCAATGAAAATCCTAAATAAATGGGAAATGCTTAAAAGGGCAGAGGTAAGTAATACTGTTTTTTAACACAGAGAATTTTTAAAATTACATTAGGAAGATTACATTGAAACTCTTCCAGATTAGGAAGAATTATTTCATGAGCATAGGAGCTTCGTTCTTTTCTCTTTTTTTTCCCTTAAGCTGTTTTAATGCAATCAAGTCTGACAGTCCCTTCCAGGCATCTGTTGTTCTCAGCATTACTGTGTATTCATTTACCAGACAGTCTGCCCTAGTTCTTACCCTGAATTTATTGGCCAGATTTTTGTTTACAGTAAAGGCAAGTTAAAGACTACATGAAAGCTGAGATTGGTGCTACTATGACATTCACAGCTGTATACAAAAATGTTATGAAAAAGGTCTTTCTTCTCTTCATTCAGAAACATCCATTAAGGAGCTTTGCATCCCTACAGTATGTAACAGGATTTATATAGCAAGTAAAACTATAACTAAATATTTTGGGATCAGATTCAGATTGTAAAACAAAATGTGTTAAGAAGGTAAATCTGTTTGAGAAGGGGTGTTTTGGCGAAAGGAGGTGTACATTGTCACAACAAATTCTGTAAATGTAAAGGCAAATGGTACTTCACACATCAGGAAAAGAATACTAAGAATACACAGTGGGAAGCAGTTTTCTAGGATAGGTATTTCTAGGATACATACTCCTCCATGGTAGAGGAAAACCTTATGGCACATACATAATATTATGTAAGTTAGCAGATAAATGAGCAATAGATTTGAAGAGAAAAGACATGTATTGCATCATGACTGGCTGCAGTTTTGATAAAGGGCAAGCAATAGTGGCTTTGCTGAGGTCTGAGCTTGCTGACCCTTCCCTGTCCCATTCTTCTGTCCTCTTCCTGACACCTCCTCCCCCCACCCTGCCCTTCCTAGTTCCTCCCTTCCTTTCAGTGAGTCAGTGCCAGGCCTTTTCCTGTGACAAAATCTCCTCCCTCTTGTTAAGCCCCTCTTCACCACTGCCTTTGCCTGATTTAGTCACAGTCTGTCCATCCATCCATCCATGCCCTTCTTTAGAGGCGGCAGCAGCCGCTGCCACCCGGCTCTCCTTTGAGCTGTCAGGAGATTTCTCACCCTGGGCTGTGCTGCATCAGCAGTTCTGCATTAAGCCTTTCCCTGGAGGAGGGAAATTTGGTGCTCTTTCTATGCAGATTTCAGCTGTGTTAATTCATTGGTCAGTATAGAATTGTTTTAAACACAAATATTTGCAGGGGTCTCCCAGACTCCAATGGAAGTACAGCTATGCTGCCTTACTTCAGTCATTTTTAAAGTGATTTCATTAAGTGGCCTGAGTAGATGCAGCTTTTGCATGTAGAGAAGACAGCTGTTTACAAATTGTGTTCTAATCATGCAACTAACTCGTCTTATCCTCTCAGGCAGGCATGAAGGATGTATAATGAGCAATAGTTTTCCCAAGACAAACTTAGGAAAAGTAACAGTCAAAAAAAAAGTTTCTGTCTGCTGATTTTCCCCATCTACAAAGGACAATAAAGGAACTGTCTTCTCTGCAGGACCACTTTGTCTTTTCCTGATCAGTTTGCTTGCTTGATTTGGCTTTTCTGGATAAGCAGGACGTTACAACCTGCATATCAAGTTCATGCAACATCTGGGTATTAAAAATTTCCCAAATGTGGTAAAACCTGTTAGTTTTTAAAATGAAGCCTGCAAGAATGCAGTAGCCTCTTAAATGGAGAGTTCCACTGAAAAAGCAGACTTCAAGTATTTTATTAATCCACCTCACCTATTTTTATATTAAAATATTATTGTTATTAGTATGAGTGGGTTAGGAAGCATGTTGTTTCACTGGTTTATATTTGTTGTGCATGACATAAAACATAGCAAGAAGTTAGCAAAATACTGCTTATTCATGTATCAGCTGCAAGAAAAAAATCCCCATATGGTTGGAAGCCACTAAAATAAAAGAAAGGTTAGTGAATATCACCTGACATCCATAAATGGGTTAGAAGCAAAAATAGGCATGCCATTTATGTTGGTAAGGACCATTTGTATTCGTTGTTCTCACAGCAAAATACAAAGTCATTAGTGTATTACTGTTGACAGTTCCAAATAAGTCCTGACTGGCTGATTAGGTAGCCTGTCATGCTTTTTCAAGTCACGTCTCAAGGCCTTTTAAGCTGGTGTAAGCAGAGGAGGAGAATTTTATGCTCTGAATTCAAGATGCAGTGTTCAGCAGCATTACTGGGTTTTCAGTGTTCATAACATTCCCTCGCTGTTTGAGGTTGCACAGTGAACTGGATCAAGGGACTGATGTCTTCAAAAATAAACAAACTAGTTCTGTGTGTTGGCAGCCTCCTCACATTGTGGTGCCAGGAGAGCTGGGAAGTGCAATGCTCTGCTGCTGTGGGAAGGGGATAGGATTACTTGGAGCTGCTGGAGCTGCCAGCCTTTTTTGCAGAGCGCTGCTTTGGCCTTGAATTCATAAACTGTTAAACCACTCAGTTGGCATTTAATTACAATTTACTTCTCTTTGCACCAGTGATTACTAATTTACAGTGTGACCACAGCATGGTCTTCTTCAGTAAAATTGTAGATTGAATTTGACTTCCTTTGAGGGGAAAATAGTTGAAGATCCATTCGTAAGGTGCAGTCAGTATATGGTAAGGCTTGGGCTTCCCAGGCACATTTCCTTAGTACATTTTCTAAGACATCTGAAGAAGTGGCAATGACTAAAAAAAAATTAGTTCTTTTCTAGAACACAAACACCTCAATCTGTAGCTGTCAAATATCCTGATAATGTCTCTCTGAATTGAGAGTAGTAGAAGAGTCCCAAGGTCTGTTTCATGATAGTTCTGATCCCATAAAAACATTAATATGTTTTTATTGGGGAGAACTCTCTTGAAGTTTATGAAAGTTGGTTTTATGTAAAGATGCTGAGAAAACCTGTTACACAGAGCTTGCTTCTATGAAGGGTTGCAGTGTGCTGTTTGAAGTTGGGGAAGGATTATTGAAAATAAAAATATATTATACTGGACAAAGATAAGACAGTAATGGTAAAATCTGCTTATTTCCCATAGTGTATTAGCAGTGTCTGGAACTGGGACTGTACTGTAAAAAAAGTATACATGAAACTGTTTTCATAAGAGTCTTTATCAGAAGAATCAGAGCCATTATCTTTCTGCTACAGATGGTAGTGACAAGTTATTTTCTACTTCTAAAAATGTTTTGTAAAACAAAGATTTAGCTTTGACTTGAATTGGTTGTGGGCTTTTTTTGGGGGGTGTTGTGTGTTGGTGTGGAGTTTTTTGGGATTTGTTGGGGGGAGGGAAGGTGGGGGGGAGGTTAATTCGATTTGGAGTTTTTTGGTTTGGTTTGGTTTGGTTTTGTTGTTTAAAGTCGCAGTCAGGATTAGAGTGACTGAATGCCTGATTAAAACCTGCAGAGATTCCCTGGCATGTCACTTGTGTAGACTGAACCCCCATGAATAGAGACCTCTGTTCAGTAATTTGAAATAATCCCATAAAACATCCATATATATTCATCCTGTGAAAACTACTTGTTGATGTTGACAATGGCTTTTCTCCCCCTCTCTTCCTTTAGACAGCTTGCTTCCGAGAGGAGAGAAATGTCCTGGTGAATGGAGATTGTCAGTGGATTACTACATTGCACTATGCCTTTCAAGATGAGAACTATTTGGTATGTTTGATTCATCAGTAAATAAAGGCTCTGGGTTGTGAAAGAATTTTATTTTTGGTATATTTAAAACATATTAGTGTATTAAATCCATCCGCCTCATGCCTCACAGCAGTGTTTCAACATTCTTGTTTTCTCCTTGAAGCATAACTTCAAAGGGACTGACTGTAACTCCAGGAGAGTGAGAAGGTTGTGAAGGACTGTAGTATATAGAGATTTAGTTAACCATCTTAAATTAACTAATCTCTCTTTGCATAAAAAATACCATGTTCAAATTTAGTATTTTGGATAAGGTTGCAGTTAAGTAATCTGAGATGTGTTACTCTGTGAAAGTAAGAAATACTTTATTTTAAACTTGAATAATATCTTTTAAAGCAAGATTTTGTTTTAAACTGGCAAAAGTAATTTAAATGTTTGGTATTTTAAAATCCTTAGGGGAAAACATAGCCTATTTCTTGAAAGTATTTCTATAAAATATGTCTTTAAATCAGCAGATTGTTCATCTCAATAATTTGAGAGACTTTAGCAAACAGTTGAAAAGAAAATCTGTACTCCTGTGGCATTTCTTTATGATTGGTTACTACAACTGTGACATACAAACCTGTTTCCTTCAGTCACAGAATACAGCAGAGTCCTGGTTAGGAGCAAAGTCAGTAAAGCCCCAATATTCTGCAATAGACTGAACCATACAGGTTCCCCGTGGCTGCTTCAGGCTGGGTTTGCAAACCTGCTGTTTCTGTAACATCTGACATAGCTGTAGTGTGAAAGTTTTCACCTTCTAAACACTTTAGTAGCATGGTAGCAAGTCATGAATGTAAATTAGAAAAATGTATTTATAAAAGGCTGCCAAAGAGTTCAAGAACTAAGCAAGAGTTAGTAAATGCTCAAACATTTCCAGATGCTGAGACAAAACGCATTATTTTGTCATGTTTGGAGTATTTTTAGAATAACAAGCGCATAGGAGGAAAATAAGCAGCCACATCTTAGGCCCTCCTTTACAGGCTATTTCCATTGAATGGTTTGTGATAGGTGCAGATTCTCAATCTCTGGCAGTTTAGTTGTCTCTAGCACTACCTCATGATTTCACATCAGCTTGTAGCTTCAAATTCCCACAGAAGCAACCTTCAGACTTGCATAAAAACATTCTGTTCTGTATTTCCAAGTAGCTTGTAAGAATGAGCTACCTAAGGAAAAATTGTTAGCTGTGTGAGATAACAAGCAAGAGCAAAGACAGCACAGAGGGGGAATCTTTTCCCAAAGTTCCCAGAGGTGTTTAGATATTGAAGTTCACTTGACAGCAGAATGTAGACATCTGATTTAAGTTCCAGTATCTAAGAAGGCAACAGTTCTGCCTGGCAGCCAAAGTCAGCAGATTCCCAGCTTGCCTGAGGTCTGCTCCTGCATGTGCTGAGGTGCTGCCTTCCAGTTTGGTCTGTTACTCAGAAACCATCTCCTGGAAGTGTCTGTGCTCACAGATGGAGGGGATCTGCATCTCAGTCAGCGTTGTAAATGATGCATGAAGAAAAGGTGAAACACATCAAGAAATCAATTCATCCAAAAAGCTGGACAGAAGGTTCTCTTCTGTACCATGTAGTGCTTGTCCAGGGGCTAAGAGATCTCTGTTCAATTCTCTTTGGAGCTTGAAGAAGTTTATAGCTACATTTTTCTTCATCATGGAGAGTGCTGCCTTGTTACAGAGCCTGGGCAGATTTAGTTTACTTTTTAGCTGTGCTCTTCATCCATGGTCCTTGCAGAAGGGAATACAAAGCTGAGAACAAAACAAGAACAGACAACAGAGCTTGGTTTTCCAACCTGGTCCTCTGCAAGAGAAATCTCTAGGTTCCAGTATTTTCTCCCAGTGATGTCTGTGCATTATATCTAGTGATCCTTAAATGCAAAACCACATAAGCTAACCCTGAGCACAGGGAGAGCCTTGTGTCTTCTCCCAGCTAGTGCTCTGCCTCCTCTGGCTGCATGATAAAGGGTTCAGAATGAGACAAAGAAAAAGTAAGATACTGACATAGAAAAGTAGTAAGTACCTGCCTTTGGAGAGTCTAAAAGTACTTAATTTTGTTCTCTGCTTTTAGTATTAACTGAGCATTTGATAATGCAAATCTTCTATTTAAGCAAGAAATACAAAGTTCTATGAAATACATATGTTCTGGAGTTCATTTTCTGGTTCTGCTCTTGTGGTTTTAAAACCTTTCAAGTTAATGCATCATGCATTACTGTTTTCTAAACAGCCAATTCTTAAGTGACATTACATAGAAATGCTGCATAACTTTTTTCTGCTTCTTAAAAAGCTTTCATAAGAAACACAGACTATGTGAAGATGGGTTAAATCAGCCTTTGGTGATTTGGCTGAAGCAGATATGATGTAAGTGAAACATAGTCCATGAATACTGAGAACTTGCATGGAACTTGAAGTTCTCCATCTCTTCCAGATTCAGATCTCTTAATTTTCTTTCCCAGTCCCATTCATGAAAAAGAACATATGTGTATTTCCCTGCTGTCAGCCTCTCAAAGGTACTGGGTACTCATGAGAGTATTTTGACATCCTTTTTGCCTTTGATTCCTAACTACTCTCACAGTTCAATGTAGTCACTTCCCTGGAAGAAATTCACTGCTGTGAGATTTCAGCATCAGAACAGCTTTTATTTTAACCCCCTAAGAAGGGAGAAGCACCTCCTGGCAAGCAGATAATTTTGAATTGAAAGATTAATAAAGTTCTGCTTCCTCAAAGACGAGATGTCACCATCTTTCTGTGATCCAAGTGGCTTCCTTCATGGGTCACCTGAGTTCTTGCTGAGTTATAAATGCTTTGGGAGCTGACAGAAGTGCATTACCCTGTCTCTGACAGAGAAGATATTTCACTTTCCACAGAAGGTTGTATAAAGCCTCTTTGCCTTGAATTTGAGAGAAAATACTTCAAGATAATACCCCTTGTAGAAGACTGATGGTTTCTGTCTGTAGCAATTTGTTTTCAAACGTAAGTGTTGAGTGTGTACAGTGCTCAGTACATGTTTAAAGTTCCTTGGAGCAATACCCACAGATTGATTTCAACATAAATGATGCAATTTGCTTATCAGATTAAGCAGTAGTTTGAGTAAAATAGAGAAAAATATCAAAACTTGTGGCTTTTGGAATCGCTCTTTTAATCCAGAAGATAGTGAGGAAATGACTAGTGTTGCACTTCATGTTCTTTGCATTTCTATCTTCTTTAATTTGTTTCCCTTATGGAAGATGAATCTGTGGCAGGGACAGTGGATTCTAGGTCACTTTACTTTGAGGAGAAAGACGATGACTTTGAAAACTTAATTCCAGAATAAGCCAAGTTAGTCTTAAAACCACATATCAAATAATCTTGGGAAGCATGGAACAGAATGGCTCAAGACTGGTAGTACTAGATGAAGTCATTATACTTGAAGTGATGGTCTGGACTTAGGTGGATATTGCTAAGAAATACCTCAAACATAATCCTTGTTTTGTGGTATGAGAAACAAATAGCATGCCTGAGCCCTTTTCTTTCATGTCACCCTATGAGTATTGGTCCTTTCCATGGATGGGATGGTGCCTGTGGTCTAGGAGGTTGTTTACTTTTTCACTGAAATATAGTCAAAACCACACCAATGTTTGACTTTTAAATTTCCCACTTTAATGCCTCTGGCTTGACAGTGCTTTTGGCTGGTTATGGGCATCCTTGTGTAGTATAGTAATGTACAGTGTCATCAGACTCCTGCCAGCTGTGTTGTGCATCCATGGTGTGGAATGTGCCAAGATGAGTATTTGAAGATGTTGATGTGATAAGTGCCACTTCAGGAGCAATGAGTAGTATTGAAATGGTACCATAGCTAAAAAAGTAATAAAATGTATATTTTAGACTAAGCTGCATCAAATATTGATTTTAGCTATACTTTTTTTTTTTCTTTCATCATCCTCTGGAAATTTTCAGTTTAAGAGTTGATAACATCAGTTTTGGTGATATTAGATCATTTTCTTTGTGATACTAGTTAAGACAGAAATAAACTCATCATGATTTACATCTTTGTTGTTGTCATATTTTGTTTGGGTGTTTTTTTTATCATAGGAACTAAGTGCTGATGTGCCTTTCTTATTGTGATTAATAAAGGAATATGATACCTTTTTATACTAAGTAAATAAAAGTAGACCACCAATTTTGACTGCTTTCCACAGACACTGAGAAAAAATAGTGAAAGGGTTTTTTGCAGGTGTTAACTGATGAACTTTATTTTTTTTTTCTTGCCAGCTGTCTCTCGGTACTTGATTGCTTTATTTCTCTATTTTCAGTATCTAGTGATGGACTACTATGTTGGTGGTGACTTGCTGACACTTCTCAGTAAGTTTGAAGACAAGCTTCCTGAAGATATGGCTAGGTTCTACATTGGTGAAATGGTGCTTGCTATACATTCCATACATGAGCTGCATTATGTGCACAGGTAAAATACCTTCTCATTTGGCAAAATATACAGGTACAGTTATTTGAAGTTAATCCCAAATTTACTGCTATGTATACAAATGCACACAGTAGCCAAAAGCAAACTACTATAGATACATGTTTACTTTATGCTGTATAATAGCTGTATAAGCTACTTTATTTTAAATATCAAGTTTTGATGGATTGGTATCAGAAGCAGTGACATTTATCTGACTAACCTTTTAAAGTCTGTTCTATTTTTAATCAGGGCTCTTGACTTATTCTCAATTCGCTTAATAAATATTTATTTGCCTTTGTCCAAGCAACCTAGAAGTTTGAAGCAGTTTGAAATGGTTTGAACTTTCTACAGAGGTTCAGACATCCTGCAAAATTTATGCACAGTAAGCCCATGATAACATCAGTGCATCTACTTACCTGAGATCATCCTCAAACAGGTTTTCTAATCAGGGGGCATGTGCTGGTCTAATTGTTTTTGCACACAAGATGTGTATTCTGAATCAGTGGCTACCATCAAGTAAGCTTGATGGTAGTAGATGTAGTAGCTGTACAGTTAAAGTTCAAAAAGCATCAGGGATTCTCAGTTATAATGCGTTGAACTCTTCTTGTTTGCATTTTGATTGCTGTTTTGAAAAGATGTTTAAACTCTAAAACTCTTATGAGTGAATGTGGACAATATTTGGGGATTTAAAAATGTTACAGCCTCAGAGAAGTTCACCAGAGGCACCATTGCACCAATTTCCAAGGAAATTACTGAGCAGCTACATCTTTCACAGGGCTGAATGCAGGTCTGTTGTGGCAATAGCAGTGTGGCTCTGTGGCCAAAACACGTGCCTTGAACAGGACGTGTGCCAGTGCCCAAGAAATTACTGCTTGGCAACTGGAATGGATGAGGAGGAGGCATGATTGCTCTGGAGAGGGTTTCAAGGACCCTTTAAGGGCTTATATGACCTGTTAGCTGCAGATAGGAGACAGTGGAGCTCAGAGAGGAGGCATTAAGCCTTTCTGAGCAGCACTGCTGGTCCCTGAGGCAAGTGAGAGCTGCATGCCAAGCAGAGATTGGCTCCTGCTGCAAGTGCCACTGTGAGCACTGTTCTTTAAAAAACAAACAAATCAGTGTATAGTTGTAGATTAGTTTTTATAGTCCCCTGCAACTACTGAGCTTGACTTGTGGCTGTGGAATGTTGACAATATCTGGAACTGAAATTAATGGAATAAGTTTAACAATGCAGAATTAGTAATTATTTTTCGGGGAAGCACAGTGACATAGTCCAATTTTCTCAGCACATATTTTTATGTATTATGACAAGTAAATACAGATTTAACATTTAAATTCATGTAGACAGGCATAGATTAGCATTTATTATTTTGTATTAATACTGCTAATGAGCAGCGGTATTAGTGACATTTCAGTAATTAATTTCAGAGCATTAGCCTTTGGTTAAAAAAGGTTAATTCAAGTTTATGTTGGAAAAATGTATCAAGTTGGCAGGCTTTTTACATATATGAGGGCCCTTTGTTAAATCTGTCGCGATTTTTCTCATAAATGTCAAGTGTGAAACTGGAATTCAGCACCTTAAAACTCAGCCATTGTCAGCTTCCACATCTGTGTAGCAAAGAGCACCTTGTTTTTGTTTACTCCTGGTAATTCTAGTCTCCTCCTTAAAGATGAAACTGAAGGTGTTGTGGAGTTTTTAAGTTTTTCAACACATGTAGTAGCATTTGGTACTTCACATTTGAAAATAATTGCAGATTTTATGGTGCAACCAAACTGGTGGCTTTTAAGGTTGGTCATGGGGAGGGAGTCATAAACAGTACCAAAAAGAGTTTACATCATTGGGTAAGATTCTATGTTATTTTGATGCAAGATTAATCTCTACAAGCAGAGCTAATACTGTATGTTTAAATCCTTTCACTTCTGTCTGTTACAACAGGGACATAAAGCCTGATAATGTTCTTTTGGACATGAACGGCCACATACGACTGGCAGACTTTGGGTCCTGTCTGAAAATGAGTGAAGATGGCACAGTATGTATGAAGCTCCATTTATTTGGGTTGCTGATAGTGGGACCTTCTGAGTGAGTTGCTGGTTTTAAAGATCAGACATCATCAGGGATGTGATAGACTGTGCACTTTCTGACACACTAAAAATTGAGGGTGCAGTATAACTCAACATACTTAAATGAGTTTTTGAAATCTTTAATTTCCTTATTTTACAGTCTCCTAACTTTTCAAGTTATCATTTGCTATATTTTTCTGTTTTTCACTTTTTCTTCTAATGACCATTTGAGTCCAAGGGGGTAGGGTGAGTCACCATCCCTGTAGGTGTCAAAAAGATGTGGATGTGGTACTTGGGCACACAATTTACGTGGACTTGTCAGTGCTCAGTTAACAGCTGGACCTAATGATCTTGAAGGTCTTTTCCAACCTAAATGATTGTCTTGATTCTACAATTAATAAGCAGTTTGTTTTGTATGCCTTTGACAAATGGAACAGCAACATGATGGTAATTGGCCATCTTGTGCAGCAGATTGGATTTACCTCAAAAAGCTGAATTGCTTGTGACAGGTTTTGTTTGTTTTGCCTCATTTAGGGCATTTCCAGGGGTGCCAGTCCTGCCAAAGTATGGCATCGTTCACTGGTTTTGGCACAAGCTCACATCTTGTTGAGGTTCTTTAGTCATAAAATGTCTGTCAAAGCTTTACCATAAAAAATGTAAATGAAAGAGCCATTAGAATTGAGAACATATTCCTGGAGATTAGTCTGCCCTGATGGTCAGGGCTTCCCTACTACTTGTGCACTGAGTAATTTCTCCACCTTATTCCTGTAGCACATCCAGTTGCACATTAGGCAATAAACATTTGAGTGATTTCTGACATAGTAAAACTTACCCAGAAAATTTGTTCTATGATCTCCAAATGAAACTGTAAAATTCAGGGGTAGGACCTGATCTCCCTACTTACTCATTTTTCATTTCAAGTTCTGGGCAGCAAATTGCAGTTTGAAAATATAAACCAACACAAAGGAAAAATATATTTTGTCTTTCTGCTTTCTCAGTATTATTTCACTGTGATTATTTTGGGTTTCTGCTGTGTTCAGAATAAAACATATCAACTGATTTTATGTAGCAGTAGAATGGAACTTAATCTTTGCAGTCTTTGTTACTTTCTTAATATTTCCTTTGTTATGTTGCTATGAATTTATGAATCTCTTCCTTCTCCAGAACCATGTTGTGGTGTCTCTGTCAGAAATACTAGTGTTTGAGTAAAACAGTTGCTGAGAGAAACTGGAAACTTATGAGAATTATGTTTGCCTTATTTTTAAGGTACAGTCATCAGTAGCAGTGGGTACTCCTGACTACATCTCTCCTGAGATACTGCAAGCAATGGAAGATGGAATGGGGAAATATGGGCCTGAGTGTGACTGGTGGTCACTGGGTGTCTGCATGTATGAAATGCTCTATGGTGAAACACCCTTCTATGCAGAGTCACTGGTGGAAACCTATGGGAAGATTATGAATCATGAAGTAAGAGCTGTCTTAAATCTCTTGTGTTCTGAGTTTATGTTTTCAGAGAAACTTATTACTTAAGGATATTGAGGTGATGGTAGTTTGCTTTTTCACAGTGTTTTAGATTAATATGTAGGTTTGTTGGTTCAGGTTTTAGGAAGCTTGCTTTTCTGAACTGCAGAAATTTAATTTTGACAAATTGAAATTTTTCTCTAAATGTTGATTTTCTTGTTGGAAAATCTAAGCAGTCATCACAAATCAAAATTAAAATCTACTCCAGTTTCTTCAGTCTAGAGTAATTTCAGTTGTAAGTGGTAATTACAATCTTTAGATCTTATGCTTGTTTATGAATAGAAATATTTTCTAAATGTAGATTATATTTCGGTAAGAAATACAGGTATTTAACCTAAATATTTGAAAAATAAATTATTAAATATGACAACATAAAGAACTAGCTAATGTCATGGGGCTTTAAGGGTTGAAATTAATTTAATCTGCAGGAGGTCAGTAGACTTCTGACTAAGAATACCAGTCTGTCTTTATTGTATGATCTTTAATATGTTGTAGTGTGTAAAAATCCTGATGTGTCTTAAAAAAAAGTTTTCTTTTCCTAACAGAGTTATTGTAATCACAGATCAAACAGATCTGTTTTAAAGAAATTGAAAAATGATTTCTTGTATTTGAAATCCAATTTAAGACAAAAAAATCTGTCATTGAATATATTGAATTGTACTCTGTCATTGCTCACTGTGACTAGAACAATATTTGACTATTCATTTCCAGTTTTATTGGTGTAGTTCAATGGTTTTTTTGAAACTACAGTTATAAGTTTTGGAATTAATTCCTTCTCTAAAAATTTCTCTTTTTGTTTTGTTTTCTAGGAACGATTTCAGTTTCCATCCCATGTTACAGATGTATCTGAAGAAGCAAAAGATCTTATTCAGAGACTTATCTGCAGCAGAGAGCGTAGGCTGGGACAAAATGGAATAGAGGATTTTAAATCTCATGCATTTTTTGAAGGACTTAATTGGGACAACATCCGAAACCTAGAAGCACCTTACATTCCAGAAGTCAGCAGTCCTTCTGACACCTCAAACTTTGATGTAGATGATGATGTACTAAGAAATCCAGTGAGTCTTTGTTTTTACATATTACTAATGGAAGTATGCATTCTTGCTGCACTGTAAGGTAGTAGTGAGAACTTATTTCAAAATAAAGAAAGGGATGAAAAATAAGTCACTCCAAATGTGAAAAATTCAAGTTTTTCATCTCTTGGCATTTTATGTTATCAGAAATCATAAGCTGCTTTTTTAAGTGGTAGCATTTGCCAGACTGTGTTACTTTACATGGTCAAAGTTAAAACATGTTTAGGTAGGGAAAAAAGCCTCTTAGTTGCCCTTTCAGTTTACCTTAGCAGGGAGGTAGTATTTGGATTTATGCTTTTTCAAAGGTGAAAAACAAAATCTGTCTTTACAAATACACATATATTCTCTGTGTAGCTTGCAAGCACAGCTGCCCACGTGAGAGGACTCATCCTGCTACTTCTCCACTGATTTAAGAAGCAGGAAGCTGGTTCTTGGAGTAGGGAACATTGGTGTTGAACTCCTCCATTTCTGTTTCTTGTAGTTTACAAATGGTTCAGGAGGAGTAGAGAGCTTTTGTGGTAATTTTTTCACCGGTTTGTATTTCAAGAAATCGGGAGCTTTTGGCACGTTTTTTGATTGCACATCTGACAGTAACTAAAACACTAAGACTAACAGCATGCATTTTGGTGCCAGATCACTTTTAATTAGGAACTTGAAATTTTGGGTTTTCTTTTACTGGCTGCATTGTGCTTTGAACTTGTTGAAATGCTGCCCTTTCAAGTGCCAGTTCAAGAGGCTCCGAAATTCAAGTCGTTCTATTAGGCGACCTAATCTGAAATAAAGCTTGTCCAGGGGCACTGGAGCATGACTGCCAATTGTCAGTTGGTGTATTAAGAAAAATCTTTCCATTAGCTGTCTCTCTTTTAGCTGTTGAGGCTCAATGAAATGCCTTTCACTCTGTATGTGTTCTCTCTTGGGTTTTCATGCACATTGTTTTCATGCAGGAAGTGGTGCCACCAAGTTCTCATACAGGCTTTTCTGGGCTGCATTTGCCATTCGTTGGGTTTACATACACAACGGACAGGTAAGCAGAGAATATGTTTTATAAATGAACTTGTTTCCCAAAGGCAGCTGATGCCTGGGAATTCTCATTTTTATAAATATATAGAAAGGTTGATGTACATAGGTATACATGTGGCCCAACATTTATTCCTTGTTTGTTTTTCTTTCAAATGTCTGAACATATTTTGATCCTGTTTGCCAAGATTAGGTGCTTTTGTATTTAATATTTTATGTATTTGAAATGAAAGAAAGTTAAGGGATTAGATGTGTCAATTGCAGTTCCTTCATTGAGAGGCAGAGAGCAAGTCTTGTCCACACTGGACATCTGCCAGGAACTGTTCAGGATTATCTCATTGCTCCACTGTCATGCTGGTAGACCAAGTTAACACAGAGGGTTCTGAGCATGGACAAAGTGGCTCAATTTGCCACTTTTTCATATCTTTGAAATGGCCTCCATCTGACTTCAGAGATCTCTCAAAAATATGCTTGTCTCTGATCTTAGGGTATTCTGACCTGTTTGTTATTCCATTATTTCTCTTTGCTGGGATTTGTTACCCCATGAACCCAAAACATGTCTGTCATTCTTTTCACAGTGAGATCATGTGAAACATTAACTTAAATCCATCTTTGCCATGCTTTAAACTAAACGTTTGGGGTTGTCCCTCAACTGTCTCAGTGCAGGTACACTTACCTGCTTCCATTTCTGCCAGGTACCTGTAACCTTTGGTGTGGGAGAGTTAACATTTTCAGTCATTTAAGCAGTTTGTGAAGTCAAGGTATATCTGCATCATTGAAGTTCTGCATGCAGGTATCTTAATTCTACAGCAGCATGCACAGTAGCTAGGGAGTAATAACTTTACCCTGAGAATTGTCTCTACAGTAACAATTACTGCACTAATTGTACTTGTAAATTTAAGGTGCATATTTGGTGGAATCCCAGCATGTCCCAGCTATAGACTGCTGTGAGTATTTATTAAAATGTCCTAACTTATGTATTTCTTTTCAGCTCTTTATCTGATAGAGGCACTTTAAAGAGTGTGCTGCAGTCTGACACTGTAACCAAAGACACGGAGGTACAGCGAGACTTAAAGAACACTTCACAAATAGAAGTCTATGAAAAGAAAATACGGAAATTAGAGCAAGAAAAGCAAGACTTGAACAGACAACTGCAAGGTTAGTGTTTATTTTTGTTTGGACTCTTAGTTCTGTTCATTGGAATATATTCTATTGAAAATCTTTTCCTTTCTTTTTGGATTTTAAGAATCTGCACAGACAGTGCAGAACCTCCAAGGTCCAGTGTGTGTTACAGCCAATACAAGCCGTGATAAGGAGATTAAAAAATTAAATGAAGAAATTGAACGGTTGAAGAACAAATTAACAGGTAAGCCTCTGGCATGGTAATTATAGTAATGCAATTTATTTTGCAATAAGTAGAATTAATTCTCTTCAGCTGTTTAAAAAACAAAGGGTGTTTTAAAGCCTTGTTCAATAATAAGAGGCTGGAAAAAAAATTCAGTTTTTTCCAGATGAGTGCTTAAGTAGTTCTTCCACTTACTTGGCTTGATAACACATACTAGCATGGGAAGTGCAGAGTGTGATGAATTGTGTGGATGGATTTAATTAAACATTTTGTGTGATATCCATTTCCCTAAAAATTTCAGGAGATCCTTTTCTCTTACTCCTCCATTTGGGGAGGATTATTGTGTTGGAGAGGTTTTACTTGGAGACAGGTGTAAGAGACAGGAGATAGAAGTCTGGTTGCTCTTTAGTAACATAAAGGAGTAGATGGGGGATGTGTAATAGTAGTTCACATTTAGATATTTCTGAGCTTCTGCTCCCTTTGTGTTTCTGTGTTTGGTGATGCATTAATTAGGAAGCACTGAGCATTGCAGAAAAACAAATACTGGCATCTGTCCTGAGGGAAGACTGACTCACCCATATCACTGAAAATCTGTTGCTTGACAATGCTATTAGTTTATCCATGCAAACCTCCTGTTAGCACCTAATTTTTAAGTAGGAATCAGTGATAAACAAAATGGTAGTTTTGAATCCTAATGACTTGGCTGAGAGTTTTATAAAGGCCTGTATAGTGTGTGTTCAGATGCTAAGTTGCTGATGCTGATTTTTTTAGAATATCCTTTCCTGATTTCATTTGACAATATACCCTTTTTGTAGGTGTATGCGCTGCAAAAATCAACTCTGTTCTCCTACACAGATTGTCTTCCCAAAAAAAGCTATTTTTGTGTATTCTGAAATGAGGTTTGTCACAGTAGTTAGATTAATGCTCTGCTTTTGCAAAGGGTTCAGGTTCATCTAGTTCTTCTACCAGTGATGTCCTGTTAAATATAAATTCTAACAGTATGTTCTTACTTAAAAAAAAGTGGCATTGGTTCATATAGGGTGGGAGGAAGTTTGTTCTGAAGTGAGGAAAGGAATACTATTTCATGCATTATAGCAGTGCTTGGCATCCTGAATACTTAGGTCCATTTTCCTGTTCTGCCATAGATACCAGTGGAACTTGAGTGACACAGTTATTCCCTGTGAAATTTCTTACATATTTGATAGTAGAAGTGGTAATTAAAACCAAATAGAGAATGGCAGCTCATTTTCTTAGAATTGGTAAGACTGAGCAGGAGTATATAAAGGTGGCTATGTGGGGTGTTTTGCACTTAAAACCAATAATTTCAAAGCAGATTTGTTTCTTTGTCATTGAAAGTAAAGTGAGAACAAGGTGCCAGGAGTATGATCAGTCAGGTCTTCAGGTTACCTTTGCAGGATGGTATTTCTTTCCCAAACTATTCATTAGTTCTTATCTAGAAAATAAATGGTCATTGCTTGTCTTGCTGGATGCACTAATGACTGTTGCCTTTTTGTTGCATAAGGAAAACTATTTAGGAAACACATTATTAGAACTGGAATTGAAACATTTCAAGTTTATTTTACGGTTTTCTAGGGCTAGAAGTTGCATTCCTCAAAAACAAAACAAAGCCTTGTGCTAAGGCTTTTTCCCTTAGAGATCACAATCTTTGGGGCTGAGAAAAATAAAATTATTTTGAGGTATCAAGATCCCAAAGTTACTTTAAATGGTCTAAAATGGTGGGGATAGGAAAGAAGTTGACTTTCCAAGCAAAGTGATGCCAATTTGCATGAGTAATTGGCTTGTGTTATTGGTGTTAATTTGGGACCAGTAGCCTCTAATATGTATTTATCTGCAGATATAAGTAAACTGGAAGCACAGCTTGCAGATGCAGTGGCTTTTCGACAAGAGCATGAAGACTCCATACACAAGTTGAAAGGACTGGAAAAGCAGTGCAGAGTACTGAGGCAAGAAAAGGAGGACCTTCATAAGGTACTGATCCAAAGATATATACTTTTTAAAATGGTTATGTAAAGTAGTTCTAGAGCAGTTACTTTGTGATTGCAATTTTAGTGTTTTAAATGCTGCTTTTTAAAACGATGCAGAGATGTTAGGGAACCTGTTGAGCCGTACAGTAGCTTTCCAAAGTATCACACTTTTATTTTTTGGAAGTTGATGGGCTTACTGTTTCAAATGTGTTCTGCTAGATTAAACAAACACCTAAAGAATGGTTTTAATTAAGCTGTTTAATTATTCTTAACTGTTTCAGTAGAAGTCTGAGGCAATCAAGAGAGACTTCAGAGCCTTGGGATGACTTGTTAAGGGATCAGGAGCTCAAGTATTATTCTCCTCTATTCCCTCATCTTTCAGGGGATGATGAGGGAGGAAACAGCCCCAGCAGACACCTGGCTGGTGTCCCTGGCAGAATTAGGGGTTTTTGACCATAGGTCAGTTCACATGACACCAGGGCCTGCTGGTGACATTTGGGGTACACCTGTCTATTTAGGGGAAAACAATCTCTGCACAGAAGTTAGCAGAGCTCATTGAAAGAGCCCATTTACTCTTTCTTTATACCAAAAGGTTAATTATTGCTCAAGGTTAATGATGACTTTTATGTAATCATTGAGTTTATTTGCTGCTGTGTAAATTATCTCTTTGTTTGCTTCCTAAAATTTAGCAGTATTTCAGATTTAAGTCAGCAACATATTTTGTAGTAAAGTAAATAGGGCTTTGCATATGCTACCTACCATTTTCAATAATAGTAAAAAAGCTACCTATATTGGAATAACTAGTTTTGCAAAAGTCTACCAGGCATATTGTTCCTGAGCATTCATATGGATCCATAAGTAATCCATGGGCCAGAATTACTGGGCTGTCCCTACACTAGCATTTAACAGTCTCTCTTCTGTCTGTTAATCACCAGTAGGGATTATTTGCCAGAGTGTATAAGTAGCAGAGAAAGTGAATCTTTTAGTCTAAGCACATGCTTTTTGGGAATTTAATCTTCCTGCAATGCTCCTACTAATGGCAGAAATTTTTAGAATTCCCTTGTACAGTATACATTTATTTTGTTGTGTCATTCTGCTTTTTTTCTTTTTTTTCCTCCGACTCTCAAATGATTTTATGTCAAACATTCCATTTGTATTTTAATCCTGTTAATTTTTGTGAACTACTTTCTGTAAAGAAAATAGTTTTTATACTTTCAATTAAGGTATTAAGAGTTTCACAACTTGTGTTAAGGAATCTTCCTCAGTTTTCTGAAAAATCTAACACTAGCTGCAGCCCCTCAGTGCTGGTAAAACGTATTTGATGTTGCTCCTGAATCTCCTGTCTTCTGAAGCATTCCTTTAAACAAGGTTACAAATGTGCAAGTACATAGTGGTAATGTAAAATCAAATTATTTGGAAGTGAGGTGACCTTTTGTAGTGACATTTATAAGAAAGACTTCTGGGATACCAAAGGTAGCTTTGGAGCTGCCACACTACAAGCAGAGTAATGACTGCCTTTGTATGTCACTGCAGTTGCCTAGCTAAACAATTGTGTAATTGTGTAAATTAAGAATTAGAAATCTTTAGTAGTTTTATGAGGTGGTCAAAACAAGCTTATTTAGGTCCAGTTTCTTTCTTCTTGGAAAGAATTAAATGGAGTTCAAATAACTCTTTTTTTTTTTTTTTTTAAACCAGCAACTTGTAGAAGCCTCCGAGAGATTAAAGATGCAGTCCAAAGAGCTGAGGGATGCCCACCAGCAAAGGAAGCTGGCTGTGCAGGAGTTCTCTGAGCTCAGTGAGAGGATGGGGGACCTGCGCTCCCAGAAGCAGAAGCTGTCCCGGCAGCTCCGCGACAAGGAGGAGGAGCTGGAAGTGAGCATGCAGAGAATCGACGCTCTGCGCCAGGACGTCCGAAAGTCTGAGAAGATGAGAAAAGAGGTAGCTTGATAAAATAGTAATAAAGTAGCTAGCACTCATGTGTTACAGCTGCTGCTTACCCTGTACCTGCTGTGTGATTGTATGGAAAAATTGGGAGCATCTTCTGGAGGTTTTCATGGGGTTTTTATTTGCGCTCAGACTGATTTGAATCTTGAGGAAAGTATTCTTGCTGTATGCCCAGTGTATTAGTTCTGGTGTTTGGATTCTTGTAGAGTCTTGACTCATAGTCAGCTTGAAACCTGTAAAGCTCAGTGAATGTCTTCATATGCTCTGAGGTTGGAGTATTCTGACTTCACTTAGCACAATGTTTATCTTCAGCTGAAATGAGGAATAGTGATACAAAACTAAATACATGATTTTCCTTCCTCTGTAATTAAGTCATTGTAAGAGTAATATCTTTAAGCAAGCTACTTTCCAATTAGTATTCTAGACAGTTTATAGTTTTTCATGAGATGAAGTGAATAGCCAGAAGAGAACATAAGAAAAAATTTCTGTGGTTAATCTGGAGTGTTTTAATCACTGAAAAATCATAATGTTTTCTGCATGCTCTGGGTGAAAGAGAAGAGAAATTCAATAGCTCTATAAGCTAGAAAACTTGTAGCAAATTGAAGGGTAGTCTATGAAAATGTCGTGGATAATGAAGTTTCTAAGGCTTTTCTCCACAAACAAGGTATGATAGTCAACTAGGAATTGATGAATTGGTGTGGCATCTCATCTCTAGAGCAGAGTGCAGCAGGCATTCAAGTGTTGTTGCTAATGCAGTTAAATACTTTCATGCAGAGCTTTAAAAATCTCCTGTATTTGTTCTTAAAAATTCCTCTGTTCTCCCTTTCATAACAGTTGTATCAATCTTCTGTTCAGAGCACAGTCTAGAAGTTAATTATCTTGTCCCACAGTTCTAAGTACAGTCCTTTTAAAAACAGCTTTGCTAGTTCAATTTGAACATAGAAAAACAAATCTTACTGTTCCTGTCAGGGTATGAAACTGTACTGCTATTGCTTGAATTCCAACAGTTGCCTTAGTTGCCACTAAATCTAAATTGTCTTTCTGATAAGCTTTCTGAAGTCAATAAATGAATGATCACGCTTACTTTGTTCCATAATTGCAAAGTAAAAATATTCAGTGTTCATATTTAAAGTGTTTTGCAGTAATTTGGTTTAAAGGTTGATATTTTTAAGCTGCCTTACTTAGATACTGAGCCATGGATCTGACCTGTAAATGTGGGAGACTTTTCTCTTTTTCAGCTGCAGTGTCTTCCTAGTGCCATTTCCTTCTCTTTTCTGTAATAGAAGCTGTGCAGTTATCCCTGAATGGGCTTGATGTAGTTCACATCAGTACAAAGAGTCATAAAATAATAGTTCTCTACATGTGACAGATGGATGCCTGAATCACTGAAGGCAAAACAATTCTCATGACATTCTGAGATGGTTGTTATAGTGGTGCAACTTAAAATAGAAATAAGTAAAACTTTCTGCTAGGCCGTATGGAGGAAAGGAAATTAATGATCCAGATAGTGTTATCTTGTGTTGAAATGACCTAAAATGACTCTTCACAGCTGGAAGCCCAACTGGAAGAAGTCGTAGCAGAAGCATCAAAAGAACGCAAGCTCCGTGAGCACAGTGAGGTTTTCTCCAAACAACTGGAAAATGAACTGGAAGCTCTAAAGGTTACATGGTTTTTGACAAGTATTTATTCATGGCCTAGAAGCTGCAATAGTTTGGCTTACTGAACTGTTGATACCAGTGGGAGACTTAAAAACTGCAGCACTACTGGAAATCTGACCTAACCCATCCAGATTTATTTGCCTTTTTTGCTTGAAAGCCTTTAATTGCTGGGTACTGATGTCTTGAAAATGCTCAGTTTATATAATTTCTAAGCAGCTAGTAAACCAATGTGATCCAAATTTGTTACCTCTGCAAGCCATTTCAACCCCTTATTTGGGTCATGTAAGCAGAGCAGTCATTTGCAATGCTTGGGGACAGGCACCTTTTAAATCACTCCATGCCCAAATAAAAATTTTTCCAAAGTGCCACCAACTGGCCAATTCTGACTTTTAAGAATATACTCAAAATAAAAAGATCATAGCTTCTCCCTGATGGCTTTTCCTCTTGTTTTGCAGTTGAAGCAGGGAGGCCGGGCAGCTGGTGCCACGCTGGAACATCAGCAGGAGCTTTCCAAAGTTAAGTCTGAGCTGGAAAAGAAAATCTTGTTTTATGAAGAGGAGTTGGTCCGACGAGAAGCGTCACATGTTTTGGAAGTGAAAAATGTGAAAAAGGAAGTACATGATTCAGAGAGCCATCAGCTTGCACTCCAGAAAGAGATCATGATCTTAAAAGATAAATTAGAAAAAACAAAGCGAGAGAGGTAAGCTTTTGGGCATGCTCCCCTCACTGTGGATTTCTTTTTGTTGCATGGGTGCCTGTGCAGGCTGGTATTTCACCCTAACTCTGTTTATTCCTTTTTGAAAATCCTAGTCTATAGGTTCAGCAATGTGACAATGTGTTTCTATTTCTTGCCCTTCTCTTTAGGCACAGTGAAATGGAGGAAGCAGTAGGAACAATGAAGGAGAAATACGAACGTGAAAGATCTATGCTCTTGGAAGATAACAAAAAATTAACAACAGAAAATGAGAGGGTAATTATTTCAGGAAACATATAATTCTTACTTCATTAGTCTCTGATGTTGAAGTAGTCTATTCACTGATCAGAACAGAATCTGTGAGTATTCAGGCACTATCTCAATTTTAAAAACTTCATTTTTGCCTTATAAATATTAGAGATTTGGCTACATAGTAACTTTAGCATCTTGCTACTCTGCTCTTTGGGGGATTGATTCCCACAATTAAGGGGACACCACCTTGTTGATTCTTCATGCAGGCTGCAAAGAGAGGAAATCATTGACACACACTGCCTGCCTTCCTGGAGGTTTACAGTTAAACCTTATTTCTCTCCAACCTCTACACTTGATTTGTTGTTTTCACTTGTTTTAAATTATTTTATGAGAACTAATAGTTTCACAAAAAGGAAGCCCATCTAGATAGCCCAGGATGGTCTTGTTTGATCAGGTTCTAAAGGTGTGTAAGCATACACATATATAAAAAGTTTGAAACTGACCTAAGTCACAGGTGAAACTAACTTCTTGTTTCAGCTCTGCTCCTTCGTGGACAAGCTAACAGCACAGAACAGACAGCTGGAAGATGAGCTCCAAGATCTAGCAGCAAAGAAGGAGTCTGTTGCTCACTGGGAAGCTCAGATTGCAGAAATCATTCAATGGTATGTGCTGATTAGAGATCCAGATATGGCCACTTTGAACTTCTGAAATACTGCTTGGTTTTGGTTTGGTTTTTTTTTTAACATATAGCTAGGCCTTGTTTGTGTCTGAGACCAGCAAAAGCATGGTACTTTTGAGTGCTGATTTTGTTAAAATTGCCAGATGCCACTGAAACAAGTAGAAAGAGTCAGGGTGTCAACTTTCTTCAGTCTCTAAAGTGATTGTTAAATCATCCTCTTTGGAATATTTTGATAAATTCATTCAGGAAAGTGGTCAAGATTTAAAAGGTCAGCATTAACATATAGAACCTCACTAGCTGTACTAGAGCACTTAGTACTTCCACTCTTCTCATCTATATAATTCACTGTTCTAGCAAGCTGTGTGCAAGAATTTCAGCTTGCAAAACAAAAAGGACTGGAAGGTAGCCCTTACAAAAATTGAGAAAGTAATATGCAGATAATTTTCAAATAACAGCTAATCTCTGCAGAACTCTTGCTAATGGAAAAAGGGAGGTTTCAGTTTCCCTAGCAACTGCCACAATCAAGAAAATCAGATAAAAGAAAAATTTAAGGCAGGCAATCTGGGATGCGATCAGTTTTCTGTCGCTGGGAGAGTTTTCCCTGCTCTGTTTGTTCCTGTTATGTCCCTAAACCCAGCACAGACACTCTGATAATTTGGTGGTACAGTATTTGGTGCTGTGAGCCATGAAACTGCTAAGTTATGGGTTTTTGTAATTGCACAACAGGGTAAGTGATGAGAAGGATGCTCGTGGCTATCTCCAAGCATTAGCTTCCAAGATGACAGAAGAACTGGAATCGCTGAGAAGTTCCAGTCTGGGGTCACGAACACTGGTAAGGAAATAAGAAACATTCAGGATGTTCTGGGCATGTCTGAGAAGCTGCATTGTTGTGCTTAAAGATAATTAATCCTCTGCTCTGCTTTATAGTTTTTAGGTACTGCTTGCAAAGCCAACTAGGTAACCTGATCAGAATTTGGTCATTACAGGGGGCAGTTGTTTCATACTTGTATCTGCTATCACAGATATTATACACTACAGAGGAGAAAAGAAATAATAACTTAAACCATTAAAGGGAATACAGAAATATACCTGACCATGTTATGCACAATTGAATAATTGCTGTTACAGCAAGACAATAAAGTAAGTTTTCTTCTGTGAAAAAATATTATCTGGCTTATGCCAATAGAAACTAGGGACACACAGAGAATATGGCTTTATTTACATGCAGAACAATAAGACCTTTGTGCCATAATTTTCCCATACAATAGTAACATGAATTCCCCAAAATTTAATAGAAGAGCTCTCATAAAGGAGTATGGTTTCAAAGAGAAAAACACTTGCACAAGGAAAGGAAGAGCCATTTGCAGCTTGGCATGGGAGCCCACATCCCCACTAATGCCAATCACCAGTCTGCCATCCAGAATCCATCTGCTGCTGGTTTATGCTCATGAAAAATTACTCACCCCTTCCAAACCTATGAATATGAGAGAATAAGAGAAAGTTTTATTTCTGTGAGCTGACATTTGTTTGCATCATCAGGAGACTATATTATAATATAGAGGTTTAACAGGAAGAAAGATTGGATCAAATGCAGTTTGCATTTTTATCTTAGCTTCTGCCTGAATAAAGAACACTGTCTGTTCTTTATATTATAACTAAGGCAGTTACTTCTCAACATAAAAAGTGCTTCTCAATTTTCATTACTATTATTTACAGGTTCATCTATGACTAGAGAGGTATTCATTAGGGAATTTCAGAAACATAGTCCACACTGAAAAACGTCTAGAAAAGCTCAGAATATTGGCTTTTGGGGTAGTAGAGAAGAATTGCATGGTGTGTGCTGGAATATAGCATATGGTGTATGTATGTAGCATATGTTAGATATATAGTAGCATATATAGTATATGCTACTTAGCAAGCATAAGACTTGCTTAGGAAAATGTTCCAGGTATCTTGGGCATCTCAAGAGCCAAGATTCCTTCTTCCTCTTTTGTCTTCTCATAGTTTTGCTACTCTTAGTATGTTTTATGTTAGTATGTTTTACATTTTGACATTTATCTCCTCTTTGAAAATCATTGTTATATCACTGTGCAAGTTTTACACTCAGTTCTAGATTGGACAGTGGGTTCTGTTTGACTTCCATGCTCAGTCATCCAGCATTTTGGTTTCCACCATATTGTGTTAATGGTTTAACCAATAATAAAATCGCTCATTACTTCACTCTTGTGTCATGAACAATGACTACTGACTAATTTTCATGCAGCAGGTGTGCTGTCCATAGCTGATTAAAAAGCATTCTCTGAACCAGTGTGAAAGCTAACTTATGTCTTTGGGAAGAACAGAAATACCCTTAGCCAGTTGTAGTAATACTCAGTGACTTACTGCAACAGGATCCCCTGTGGAAGGTGCGCCGCAGTCAGAAGTTGGACATGTCAGCAAGGCTGGAATTGCAGTCAGCCCTTGATGCTGAAATTCGTGCCAAACAACTGGTTCAAGAAGAGCTACGGAAAGTGAAAGATGCAAACATATCTTTTGAAAGGTAATGAGGGTTTTGGTTGTGTTTGGGGATTAATGTGCTGATCTAAACTGCTGATTAGAATAGCAGCAACTTCCTTAAAATGGCTCCTTGTGCCTGGATATTGGACTCTGTCAGAAGGATCCCATTCTATAGAATATGTATTTATTACATAGTCAAATGAGAACTGTAAAAATTCCTTCAAGTAAACACTTGACTGCTCTAGTAAGTTAAAATCTTGGGCATCTGAGAAAAAAAAAGGTGTAAGAGCAAATTCAAAACAAATTCACTACCATTTCTTTGACTAACTGGAGAGTCAGACATGTTCTTGGGAATTATAAGTAAAAGTACTCTTAGAATAATTTTGTTTGGCAGATACTTGCAGGGATAGCTGAAGTCTTAAGTACAGTTTTAACTGTCTAGTCAAGTAATGAGGTGTCTGTTCAGGGGAAAAGTAAAATAATTCATCCTTAAAAAAAATCACTTAAAAAAACCCCAATGCCCCTCAAAAAACCCCGACATAACCCCCCAAAAATAACAAACAAACAAAAAGGCTTTTTCTGAAAGTCTTGAGATGTAGGACCAGAAATTAACAACCTCGTGTACTGGCGTTCCTGCCTTTGAGACATTTCAGATTACATTTTGATCATATTTTTTTACTTTAGTAAATTAAAGGAATCAGAAGCAAAAAATAGAGAACTGTTGGAAGAGATGGAAGGTTTGAAGAAAAAAATGGAAGAAAAGTACAGAACAGATTCAGGTAATTAAATTTCCTGTGTTCTAACAGAGTTCTAACACAACCTGTGATGTTGCCTTTTAGCTAAGCCTGTTCTGCTTTTGGTTTTAGGTCTCAAACTTCCAGACTTTCAAGATTCCATTTTTGACTATTTCAACACCTCTCCTCTTGCACGTGATTTGACTTTCAGAGTGAGTTATTACATAAAATAACTACAAAATGAGATAACAGAATTATATTTTTAATATGTAAAAATATCTCTTAGGCACTGTATGGCAGATTGGTATCTTGCATATTAGCCAAATCAGTGTGGCACAGAATTGGATGCCCAGCAGTTGTCAGTTTGCTTGGCATTTTGCAGAGAAGCTGGCACCTCTGGGAAATATTCTCAGAAGTTCACTTAAATTATTTTCCATTCTAGCTTTTTTGTTTAGGGTAATCTCAAACATTTGCTAAATGAAATATATTCAGAGTTTTTTTGAGTATGCTGGCACACCCTATTACAAATAAGGAATTAAATGCTTTGCAGTTGGAAGATACTGATTATTACAAGGGAAAGTTTTCACACAGTTCAAGGAGTGCTTAAACAGATTTGTAAAATTGTTGGCTCCAGATCTTAATGGAGTGGTTAGAGGAGAAGGAGCTGGGAAGAGAATCAGAGGACCCACAGATGTTGGTATAATAATTTTATCATGACACACCCTGTGATCCTTAGAAAACAAATCATTCAAATCACAGCTCCAAGTAGGCGTTTCACTTTAAATGATTTGTGCATTCCCTGAGGAAGCAGCTGTTAAATGCAACATTGAATCACATTTCCTTACTTCATGAACTCTTGATCCTTGAAGATTTTTCTGGGTTTTTTTTTAAATTTTGTTTTGCAAAGTTTAGGATAAAACCAAGGGCTTGAACTGAAACGATCTGTTGGTGAAGTGGCATTAAAGGGGCTCAGGTTAAAACCTCATCAGCCTGGTTAGATTTTCTATCTGAGATGTCTACTCTCTCTTTTTTCTTTTTCTTTTTGTTTTTATTGTCACTGTTGCTAAAAACAAAAAAGCCTATGGACATGCTGTGATATTTTCATACAATTTGTGTATTTGCTGTTCCCAGTCACAAAATGTCTATGCTGCCTTTCTGTTGGAGCAGGAAGATGTGCTCTATGGGTGGCAAGGAGGGGAGAGAAGCATGATGCATGCTACTTTCTCAATACTAGCTTTACCTACTGACCTTGATATTTTAAAACATTGTTTTTAAAAGTACCAGATAGATGTAAAACAGAAACATGTAAAATATCAAGCCCATAACTAAATAAGGTTCCATTTGATGGATCCTGAAATAAATACATATTCTCTGTGGAAATGCAGGTGGCATTTTCTAATGAATTACATTAAAATTGCTGATACCGTGCTTAATAACTTACATTAACTTTTTTTTTTTCCACATGTACTTATAAAGATATTTTGTATCATCTGCTTTGGGGTTGACTTAGTTTGAATGAGTTTCATTTGGCCATATAAAATTTTATTTAGCTAGTCAACTAATATTCTATCTGAAGTTTTCCTGTGGGTGATAAGCGATCGTTTTTATCCCTCATATCTGTTACAACAAAGGATTCTGTTTCTTCTTCGTCTACATCTTCTCTGCTAGCCTTTTGGGAAGAAGTAAGTTTTTGCTAGTAGTTTTGTGTCCTTATTTTGTTGTGACCTGTCTTAGTAAGAATGGCCCTCTAAAACTAGATATTTTGCTTCCTTAATTTCTCTGTAACTTAATCCACTAAACCTCTTTGAGGCTTACTGTTTTATAGTTTGACTATATAGCTAAAGCTGAATCACACAGTATTTTGAAATTATTCATATTACATAATCATGCAATTTGATCTTAAATGGCCCAACCCTTCCAATCAGTTTGGAACAAAACAAAAATAACAAGTATCTGAACAAATTGAGTGAGCTAACTGGAGATGTCTTCCTGTCTAAACTGGCTGGGAAGTGAGTGATTCATTACTTGTTGCCTTTAGTGCTAATTACATCATTGATGTGAAGTCTAATCTCATGTTTGTTAATCACAGTTTTCATGATGTCCTGAGAGTACAGTAATACAGAATCCTACTTCCACACCCAGCTGCTTTAGCTCTGCAATTGTAGCATACTTCCCCCTTGTGCTGGCAATTAGTAGTTGCTAATTTAAGTGTGAAATTAATAGATGGCTTGTAATGGATGCTAGCTTTAAATGTTAGCGAAATATAAGGCACTGTGATTAATTAGACATGATTCTTTTAATGACGGAGGCCAATCATTCTTAAACAACTTTTTAAAAGATTGAGCATTACTACTTTAAGATTTTTTCTTGTGGCAGGTTTGCTGGCTTCTGTATGCTAGAAAAATCCTAGTGTAGTAAGCTACCATGAGAAATCAGCTATTTTAGGGATGATTGCCAAGCTACTCAAACATCATTCCATACCTGCAAGCAAGAGATTAGACACAGCCTTGCTGGGAGAATGCAGCTGTTAGAGCATTTATGCTGTCTACTACAAGATTTTGCATTTCAGTACTTCCAGCTTTTCCATCAGGTGTCAGGGTTTGTATTGAGGAAAGATCTTTTTCAGAGTGGATGTTAAATGTATGTGTACTTCATATAGAAATCAGCACCGGGTCTTGTTTCCATTTTGTTGACACAAGGACACTTCATCAGATTGTGGTATCTAATCTAACATGTTTGCTGTCCTTTTGCAGACCAGCTCTATTAGTGAGCAGGAAATGCAGGGTTCCAAGTCAGAGGTTTCACCATCTACTTCAGTTGTAACTGCAGAGCAGCAACAAGAAGTAAGAGACCCATTATTTTACCCTGAGGAGTATTTCACCAGAAAGTCTCTCTGTCTTGTTCATGATAAATACATACTGCAGCATTCATTATGAAGAAGCAGGATTGAATGCTGCATATTTGCAATGTCTCAGTGTTAATTGCATCTGCTTTGAGGACAGTTGCAAATGAAACCTTTTCGCTGGCTTTGTGTATGTTGATGTACCTCATTTTCATGTTTTCTGTATTGCTGCTTGTTTGTTAGTGTGCAGGCTTTCCTGTGAGTGCTTTAAAACACAATCTGTTTCTATTAAATCAGAATGGCAATGTTTACAATTATTAAATTATTGATAATTTTCAAAAAAGGAAAAAGAATCAGAACAATAAGCTTTGCCACCCCAATTTTGAAACAAATTCTTGCAGCCTTATTTTGCTCAATTACAGTTTCTTGTGATTCAGGAACCAATTCGGCTTCAGAGGATGCCTGCTGCTCCTTCCCCCACCATTCAGTCCATTTCTCTAGCTGTACCAAAGGTAGGGGGACTGTGCTAACCTTATTCTAAAGAACAAAGGAAAAAAATATCATTTATAAATGAGCCCTCTGTGTTTTCTTGTCCTGTTTGGGTTTGTCATGTTTGTGTTTTTGTTAGGTCTGTGTTTTTAATCAAATGCTTCCACATGCACATCATCAGTGGGTTTTGTTTTGTTGGAGGGGATGACAAAACATGGTTGTAGTTTTGGGTCTGACTGTCTTTTGGAGTTGGAAATAAAACTGTTACTGTTGTCTTGCAGCACCGGCTACAAGATGCACTTACATAAAGAAGCCCAGCTTCATAATGTACACACTGATCTACTGGAGGGTGGTGGAGGGAGGTGCTTGCATTACTCAAGTCCAGAAAATTATGAGTTTTTTAATCCTGAATGTATCTTTCAGCCTAAAGCTCACCAGCTCAATATCAAGTCATTCACCAGCCCCACTCAGTGTAGTCATTGCACCTCTCTCATGGTGGGATTAGTTCGACAAGGTTATGCCTGTGACGGTGAGTTGGTGAAACTTTTTGTCAATTTTCAGCAAGCCCCTCACAAAAGCATCCCAATGTATTTTAAGAGAACCATTTCTTTGGGGAGGGAATGAAAGAGAGGGGTGGCTGCCACTGGATGATGTTCCTTTCTTTTGCATCGCAGCATATTCCTGAAGTCTCTTTAGTAGAATGATGAAGTATGGTTTCCTTGCATATTGTATAGTATTAATTAATTCTATTGCCAGTAGTGCAGGGGAGGTGGTAGGGAAGACAGGATTGGTTTCTTTTGTTGTACTAGAGAAAACTGCAAGAGTGATCTGGTGACATGAATCTGATTATTTTATGCTATTCTGGTCATAAACCCCATATGTTGGGAGGGCTATTTGCTCTATTATTTGGCTTGTAGCCTGTCTTGCTGTCCATTAGTTTTATTTAAAATGCTTTCTCTGATGCATGTATAACTACTGAATTCCATGTTCAAGTATATGGAGGTATTTTCATTTGAACTGTCTGTATATTGATTAGACACATGAGCTCAGTTAAATAGGCCACAAATTCATGTAGTATACATACTACAGTATAAATAACTTTATTTCTGTGCCCAGATTAGTTCTTGCTAGTGGCAGCCTCTCCACTGACACCCTCAGTATCACATGTAGATTGCCTCATCTGCCCTTCAGGGCTTTTTTCCTGGCAGATCTTCTGGTGGCAGTTCTTCCCCAGGAGAACCTATCACTCTGCCAGCACTTGCCCTGGGGCTGCCTTTTGTCTCCTGTTGCTGACAGTTCTGAGCTTTTGTTTTGCATCTCTTCTTGCAAGCTTGAAACTGTCTTTTTCCTTTAGTGCAGCTAGGGGCTTCACTCTTCTTTTGTCTTGTGTATTTTGATAAGCTCTGCATCACTAGTTCTCCATTTTGCCTAATCTACTGCAGTTCTTGATTGCTACAGAAAAAAACTAAAATCACATTGATATAAAAATAGAGATGATTCCAGTAGAACAAAATTTTGCCAAACGTTCCCCTCTCAATCACTTGCATTTCCCAGTTCCTCCTCTTTCTAATCCTGGAGACTGTGGTAAAGTACAGCTACACTTACAGAAGACTGGAACTGACTCTATCCTGTGGATTTTCCCTATTCTGTAACTGGTGTACCTTGATATCCACAGTCCCAAATAATCATGATGCCTCCTCAAAGAGCTGAATTTATTACCTGATCTTGAGGAGCACCTACAGTTCTTTGTGGGTGTGACTTTGGTAACCCCTGCCCTCCTGGGAGCAGACAGTAGCTCAAAGAACAAGCCAGGCAACCTGATCTGGGCTGCCCCCTCTGCTGTCTCCTCCCCCAGGCATCATGAGGAGCTTTGTTGCCCTCTCTGTGGCTGTAGCAGAAGCAGGCTGTTTCCAGTTCTTTTGGAATCCTTTGAAACTTCAGAATTACAGAACAAGATGTGCCTGGGATATCTGCCAGATTCTCACTTCTGAGAATATGGTTAGGAGGAAACACACAGGACAGCTCAGAGTGTTGTGCCCCTCTCTTCCTGCCTTCCCAAGCTTCCTGGTAGAAACAGGGTAGCTGGGACAAACAAAGCAAAATCTCAGTGGAAGGATCTCAGCCCTAAGCTGTGGGTCAGATGATATAACACATGAACTCATTCCACAGTTCTTGTAGTCTGTGTCATGCCATGTGAAATGGCATGTATTAGGAGGTTTTTCTGTGTACTGCTTCTGTGTGAAGTGCTTTGTAGACAAGACCTAGAGACCTCTGTACCTTGCTGGTGCAGCACAAAGTGGTGCAAATGGTAAGAAAGCATTCAATGCTAGTTTGCTCCTTATTTGAATTTACTGGAACTCTGGGCAATAGGAATATATGACTCTTTCATCATGCTGTATTTCAGCCCTATCCCTGGTTTCTACTTTATTTATGTTTATATATGTCTATATCTTGTGTTTAATAGTTTAACCCTTTCTAATTTTTGATCAGTTTAGTTTTACTTTGTTTTTGCAGTGTTCTTGCATACGTGGATCAAATTAAACACCTATTAGCACTACCCTAATTTTTATTCCTTCTTTATTAACACTGTTTCTATTCTGTGACTGGATTAGTTGGTGCTTAACACCAGCAAGGCTGCCCAACTCATTTTCCTTTAAATGTGGACTCAGTTCCTGCCCTTTATGAATATAATAGGCTAAAAAGAGGAAATAAAAGCACTTAGGAGAGTCTCATACAATATCTAGGTGTGTTCACTTCTTCAGCCTAGTGAGCTATTGCAATATTTGACTGCCAGTTTCAGTGTGATTAATTAATTTGCTGAGTGTAGACTATGTTAATCACCTGTTATGACTGACTCATACACACATTTCACTGTGAATTTTCTCTTTTGTACTTAGTGTGTTCATTTGCATGCCATGTTTCCTGCAAGGACAGTGCACCTCAGGTCTGCCCTATACCCCCTGAACAAGCCAAAAGGCCTCTTGGAGTAGATGTGCAAAGAGGAATAGGAACAGCCTACAAAGGTTATGTCAAGGTAACAGTCCTTTCTTCTTGGGCAAGAGAAGAATCCTTAACTTCACTTACAGCTCTACAGCTTGGAACTTTTAAGTATGTTTAAACACATCTCCTAAATAGTGCTAAAGCCTTAAGGGTTTGTGTGCCATCTATGTAACTTATTTAACCTTCATTGCTTTAGATGTGGGAGAAACACTTGGTTTTACTACAAGAGCTGAAGGTCAGTAGATTAGTAGCTACAATGTTCATAAGCAGCAGGGTTAAAAAAAAGAATGGTTTAAGAAGGAATTTCTGTCATTTTTAATGTAAGCATAATATAAAAGTTAAACTGTGCTACCATTTTGGCATTGGTGGACTATCCAAACCTAATATCTTTATACAAGTCTTCATATATTTTTAAGCTGTAACAAGGAATGGTTTAAAAGAGGAAAAATGATTGCTTGATTATTTGTTATTTTTCATCCTGTTTTGAAGAACAAGTAGAAAAGTGCTCTAATTCCATTGTTCTAAGTATGAGCTTTTCTAAATGTCCTGCTTTCTGTGTCTTCTGCATGTGCTTGCATGTAATAATGAATTATTTCTCTGCAGGTCCCAAAGCCTACAGGAGTTAAGAAAGGGTGGCAGAGGGCTTATGCAGTTGTCTGTGACTGTAAACTGTTCTTATATGATGTGCCTGAAGGAAAATCCACCCAGCCTGGAGTTGTGGCAAGTCAAGTCTTGGATCTCAGGTTTGTATTGTTACAGCAGAGTAGAAATCCTCTCTACTGTTAACAGGAGTGTTTATTTCTAGTACACAAGAAATTAGAAGATTTTGAGGGTTGTGTCCTAAGAAGATTCATGTATTGTGTACCTGAACTGCAGCTGAGTTTAGGCTGATCAAGTTGGCTCAACAAGAAATTACTTAAGTGACTTTACAGTCACTCACACTGCAATCACCAGCATTCACAGCATTGGCATGCTTCTTCCTAGAATTCCATTTGCACCTGTAAAAAGCAAGTGTATATTGGTAGATTGCTTTTCCCATGCACTCTGACCTCAACATTGAGTCACACATCATCCCACAGCCAATAAGTATTCAGGCATGTTAGAAAAACTGAAGTAGTCTGCAGAAAAGCATCAACTAATTTCCACTGCAAATGGCTCTGACCCTGCCTTTTAACAGGAGTTATTACTTCAAGGGGAACCATCTGAACCAGTGAACACTGTCTACCAAATATCTGAGACTTAAGTTGATCAGAGTAACCAAGGAACTTCTTTTATTTCAATTTTTGGAAATATCAAGAAAGCGTAATACCTTTTAATGTTACACCTTGTACCTGTGTTGAATATAAAGTTTGCATTCACAAGCACCTTGGTTTATATTTCTTCCAGACAGCAGTATGGTGGGATTACAGCAGTAGTGCTGTGCTGGGAGCTGTCAGTGTCAGCTCTCTGACATGCTGGCAGTGGGAGCAGGAACGTGGAAGTATTGCAGATAGCAGCATTCCCATCAGTCCATTGCTTGAAGCAACTCAGCCAGATACCATATACCAACTGTGCCATGCTTTATCTGCTTGTTGTAGCTGCCCCTTTGAGGCTGCCATCTGAGGGTTCTCAGATGTTTTTAATAGATGTTAACCATCACAGCTATGAATTCTAGCACGGGCAAGTTTCAGACATTAGTGTCATCTTTGCACTAAAATTGGCAATTATGGTGATCAACTTGGTCAAATTCAGTTTGAAAAGGCTAGTGCAGACAAGCCCTCTGGGGTGGAGCACTCTAAAATGCAAAAGTTGTTCTGATGTCTGTTTATTTTACTGTAATAGAGAATAAAATCTAGCTGTTTTGAAAACCCTTATTTGAAAACCCACAAACTATAATTATGTTGCCAAGAGCTTTTTATGTGATTTTTCTTTTTTTCCAAAGGCCCCTCTCTTGCTACACATTGAGGTATGAATTATTCATTTCTAATGTGTCTACTGGGCTGGAAGAGCAATATTCTTGCTTCTAATTGTAGAATAGGTGTGGTTGGGACACCAAAACTACACAAAGCCACCCTGCTTAGCTTCAGGTGGACTGAGGTACACGTGCCAGATGCTGTAGAGACATAACTGAGGCTTGGCAGCTGTTTGGGTCAAGGATGGTTAGAGCATAACAAAGCAGTTGTGACCTCTGTGTGGTGTTAGGAGATTGCAGCCTATTGAAACAGTGGTGATACCAGTTAGATTCTGCTCAATAATCTGTATGTGTGCTTGTGTGTGATGCTCTTGTTCTCTTTTCTCCCTAGAGATGAAGATTTTTGTGTGAGCTCTGTCCTGGCCTCAGATGTAATACACGCAACCCGGAAAGACATCCCGTGTATATTCAGGGTATGGCTGTGCACTGACTCCTACAGAAAATACCTGTTAAATACCACTGGTTTGTTTTGATAGGGCTCATACTGTCCATATCTAACCTTGATTAGGTTATGTAGAAGTGGAAGAATTTGCAAGGGCTGCTGACATATGTAGAAGAGCAATATGGTGCCCCTCTTATAACTGAACTGTAAAGAACAAAGTGTTGTATTTGCAGGGACCCCCATGGCAGGAAGGAATGATTAGTCTGACTCCATGTTCTCAGAAGGCTAATTTATTATTTTAAGATGCTATATTGTATTAAAGAATACTATACTAAACTATACTAAAGAATAGAGAAAGGATACTTACAGAATGCTAAAAAGATAATAATGAAAACTCGTGACTCTCTCCAGAGTCCCGACACAGCTTGGCACTGATTGGCCAGTGAGTGAAAACACTCACACCAGAAACCAAAGAAACAATCTCCAAACACATTCCCCATGAGCAAAACAGAGGAGAAGCAAATTAGATAATTATTGTTTTCCTTTTCTCTGAGGCTTCTCAGCTTCCCAGGAGAAAAATCCTGGGCAAAGGGATTTTTCAGAAAATATGAATGTGACAACAAAGTTCTCATTCTTTAGCTGCTTCATTGTATATAAAGTTTGTCACTTCATTATTTTCCTGATTATAATTCAGTATATTTTTTCTCTTTGTCCATTGGTATTACCAGATTCTCTTTTATCTTGCTTCAGGAACCAATGCTGTAACAGATTATTCTGAAACTGATCTAGTTTCCTTAATTTCATATTTAGGTATAGGAGAAAAAAATAAAATAAGAGAAAATAATAAACTGAACTTTAATATCCCCTTTAGTGTATGTTCTATCTGAATGCTGTATTTAGTTTTTAACATCAGGAACTTAATTTCTCTGTTTTGTGTGAATCATATTAAATCTGGAGTTCTAAAATTTAGAAGAGAATACATTAGTAGCCAGTATCCATAGTCCCTTACATTTGAATACAGAAATTCATTGTTTTCAGCATCTCTGATCTTCACCCATTTAGAATCAAGTCAGAAAAACATGGAAAGCAAAGAGCTGTCAGTCAATTGCAGTGCCTATCATTTGGTCCTTCAGGATTTTACTTGGGAATTGTCTTTGCTACTTGTCTGCCTCTGTCTCTGCTTTTCTGCTTTTTTTGTAAAAATATTTTCTGCAGTGAATTTTCATACTTTGGTTTACCACTACCTGTACCTTAAGTTTCCTCATGATTGTATTTTGGTTTTTGGGTTTTTTAGTTCCCATCTGCCTGCTCTCTTCTTAAATTAGCAAACATAGAATACTGTAAGGAAGGAGAGAAAATTTGGTGAGGAGAGAAAATTTCTGAGGAGAGAAAATTTGGTGTGCAGAATGATGGTTCATTCAAGATCAAGGCATCCATTCAGTTCAGCCTGCCTGACTTGCTGCTCTGATTTCTGCCCGCAGTTTTTAACTGAAAGGGTATCTAAATAATAAAAGTCATTTTTGTCAAATATCCCTCTGTAAAAATATTTGTGTGGATATACATGACCAAATATCTCCATGGTTTGATCAGATTATCCCCTGCTAAAGAGATGTGGTTAATTAACTGGAAGCTTGATGTGTGAATATATCCATTTAGGTAGGGGACCAGAGAAGCTGCTGAATTTCAACTCTTTTCTCAGTTCTATGTCCTCCTTCAAAAGCAGGAATTTCTAAAACTGGAAACCACTAAACCTGATTGGGAGAATCTCATCTCAGTTTAGTTCTGGATCTGCATCTTGCTGACAGAATCACATAGAGTAGCTTGTACAGAACAGTTTAAACTTTTAATTCACATCATCTGTGTAAAAATGTGGTCCTTCTTTTGTATGTGTCATTGCACATAGCACATGGTGATATTGGTAGCCTATGAAAGACAGATTTTCATTTCTTCTGGATATTCTACCAGCAGAAAACAATACCCAACAAATTCTCTTCTACAAATAGAATGCTGCCAAACACATGTTCCCACCTCTGACTCCCCATGAATTCAAGAAGAGTAAGAATTTGTCTCAGATTCAAACATTTCTCCTTGGTAACCAGTTTTTAAAGCTGGGTGTTAGGCCATGCTGACAATCAGACACCACAGTCCTAAATTCTGCCATCGATTCACATTTTTAATAATAGTGTAGGAGTTGGCTGTAATGGAGTGCTCCCACAGCTTAGCAGTCCAAGTTAAGAAGCCTTGAATTTCATAGCAAATAATGGATTTTTATATGATAAATAATGCAATATATATTATGACCAACTGCTCACTTTTTTCCTTGCATTTGACTATATATAAGTTGCCAGCTTCAAAAGATTGGGGAGTAATACATGGTGGTACTTCAAATGGAAAGCCATTGCTGGAATCTGGTTTTGTTTTGTTTTGTTTTGTTTTCTAAACATTATCCATTATGCCTCCACCTGTCTTTAAATATTAATGCTTAGTTACAGTTTAGACAGGAGCAAACCTTTATGCAGAATAGTAAGAGCTATGAGCAGTTGCAGCTACTCAGTTCTTTCCCTACCTCCCTTCACCTCCACCTTCATCTTACTTCTGAACTTCTGTCTTTGACATCCTGTTGTCCAAAGTTTACTTTCAGATTTATTTTACCTTCAAGATGAATGTTACTGTTTATTCACTCTTCCAGGAAGTGTGTGTGTTGCATTACCACAACATCCATCCTTACAATGATTTCCTTACAACAGCATGTAGGCTGAAGGTCTGATAGTCCATGTTACAGCCTTCAGATTTACACTTTTACACCTTTTGTTGGTCTTTCTCTGTTCAACTGTTGTTACTCAGAGTCTGTGGTGAGGGTTGATGCTGGCTGTTGGCCTGTTTGTCTGTGGCTGAAAGTATAGTTCTCATGATAACATAAACCCTTCAGTCTCTTCATGCAGTACAAAACCCCCAAATATTAAGAATTACTGCATGCATTCTTCAGGCAACAGAAGTTCCTGGATAGTTTTTCTATGTTGAAGACATTCTGCTTTGAGATCTGTGAGATGATTTAACTGAAAATTAAGTGAAGCCATAGTGATTTTCTTTTAGCACAGGGACGTGGGAGAATGCAGTTCTTCAGTCTCAAATATTGCTTTCCTCCAGAGCTTTGAATGCAGACATGATGTGCTCTTCCCTTGGACAAATATTTGGAAAATTAGATAACAAATTCAGAACTGATGATAGCAATGCCTTTGGGTTTCAATGCATCTGGTTCCCAAAGCATGTGTGTCACTCTCAGTGAATTATGGGTGGGTGGGATCAGGACAGACAATGGTTCAGAGCAGGAAGGAGCCTTTTACTGCCATGTATTGATTATTGTAGCATTCCCTGCCCATATGTTAGGATTCAGAATATTCAAGCAAGGCTGAGTACTTTTGAACAAAGCCACTGTGGCTTGTGCAGTGGTTGTGTTTTGGTAGTTTTTCTGAAGCACTGTGGCTGTATTAGCTGTGTTGTGTTTGTTTCTTGGGTACATCATTCCATTGTCATGAGAAAGTGTAGATTTTTTTCACAGTTCTGTGTATTAAAAAAGTCTTTTATTACTCTAACTAATTTCACTGTCTCTATCTGTTTAAAGGTGACAGCTTCTCTCTTAGGTTTGCCTTCAAAGTCTTGTTCTCTACTGATCCTGACAGAAAATGAGAATGAAAAGAGAAAGTGGGTTGGAATCCTAGAAGGGTTGCAGTCTATCCTGCACAAAAACAGGCTGAGGAACCAGGTTGTGCATATTCCACAAGAAGCCTATGACAGTACACTGCCTCTTATTAAAGCAAGTTTAGCTGCTGCTATTGTAGGTATGTTTGATTTCACTTTTATCACTGTATGAAGGTGGTTGGAACTTTTAGATGGGCTTTTATAATGAGAGCACTGACATCTTGAAATAAATTCCTCAGCTGAATTCCTTGATAGGAATTTAATAATGGGTGAAAAATGCTAATCTTGCATTGATATTCAGGTTTCTTCATCCACTTGGAGTAAATAATACTGTGGAGTTGTTCAGCAGGTTGTTTTAGCAACGTGGTACTTAGCATGCTTTTGACAGACTGTGTGAACTCAAGCAAAATTGATTTGCTGGTGAAAATCTGTTTGTGCAGAAATTTTTTCAGCTGTTCAAAACAAACAGCCTGTTTTAAAGATAAGACCAAGCTTAGCTGAATTAATGGCCTTTTTCCCCCCCTTAGATCGAGATAGAATTGCAATTGGCTCAGAAGAAGGACTGTATGTGATAGAGGTGACCCGTGATGGTAAGTCAGGCCATAATGCATGCAGTAATTACATACAAAATAATGAGCTCCATAACTTGGAGTGCTGCTGTAATATAGGTTGCAGAACAGCCTTTCATGTATAGTAAGTATTAAACACTCAGTTAATTGATGAGAAGGAAAAGTGAATGTGAGGTATAAGCACTAATTTGGTCATTATCATTACATTCAGGTGAGTGGCTGAAATTAAACGGATGAGTTACTGGGCATATCCTGGCACATTCTCACCTTAGCTGTGTTCCCACAGCAGGTATCAAAATCAGCACACAGAGCATGCACAGCACACACAAAGTTTGTAGACTTCCCTTTAAAACCTCCATGTCTTACCTGTTTCTTGCAGAAATTTGACAGCCACTCACATTCTCTTGGAGACCAGTGGTGTCCAAAGCAACTGTGTCTTGGGGTGCTGGTCTTGTCAGTGATTTTCTCAATTCCTTTTTCTGTGTAATTTAGTTTGTGTCTATTTGAAAGTTGGATTTTACTCATGCTAAAGATTGCATTTCAATGTAAAATAAAGTAGTGAATACAGGTTTTTAAAGACTTACTTGACTTCCAAAATTAAATTATATCAGGGATGTGGTTTTGGGTAAAAAGAAAATTCTTCTTGTTTAGAATAAGACATTGCCCAATTCCAGGAGAAACTGCTTTATACATGGAGACAGCAGATATTTGGAATTCTTTTTAGCAGTAATGAATGCCATTCCTTTGAGTAAACTTCCAGTGGTCACTATTCTTTAAGTAGTTAGATATAAACATAACTAGAGATGCAAATAATTCCAGGAATTCCAGCACAGCTTCTTGCATAAAAGAAAGTTGTAAATTTAATTTAAAAGGTCATTTCCTAAAGGAACAATTATCTGCATCACCATGTTATATGTAAATGTGAAAATTAATTATCAGGTTTGGTTTTAAGCTAAGAAATATTTAGCAGGAGTTTTCTCTGGCCAGTTCTGTGTGTTAATAGCATTTTTTGTAAATCGTAATCTGTTTTTCATTTTATAGCAGTTGTAATTTTTTTAGTGTTAATTAACTGCCAGCTGTTTATAGCAAAGGTCTTTGGTTAGAATATTGCTTAATTCTTGACAAATAAGCTGGAGTTAGAGCTAGGAAGGAAACCATTTCTCTGTGGCAAAGCCAGTTATTTCCTAGAGCATTTCTTCAGACATTTCATCTGTTTATTCAGGTGAGGGTACACCACAACAGCACTTTGTGATTTAAACAGCTGAAGTCTTATTGCCAGGTTTAAAGAATTTGGTAACTTTGGCTGCATTACTCAACTGTTACTGAAAAAAGGCAAAGAATTTCCAATGAAGAGTTCTCTCTTTTTTTTAACTACAATTCACAAATATTTTTAAAGCATTCAGCTAGCAGAAAAATGAAAGTTACAATTTAATTGTATTGGTTTATGCTTATTAAGTTTCCTAGTTTAGAATTGCTCTCTTGTTTGTACCCCATTAAATACTCACTTCATTCTTGAAAGTTCTTGTATAGCCAAGATCCCCAAAGAGCACACATTGTACCTAACCCCCTTAGCTTTCTCTAACCCTGCTTTAAAAAAATGCATCAAACAGCAAAACTCCCCATGGGTAGTCTGGCTAGTCCTTGTTCTGAAAGGGCTTTCCTGGTGCCTGTCCTGAGCCTCTCTTCCTGCAGCCTAAGCCCTTTCCTTCTTATCCTTTCCCCATCACAAAGAGCTTTTTTTTCTCTTTCCATATGTGTGTTTTACACCCCCTTACTGTACTGCTTTTGTACCTGGCTGAGAGATCTGCCAACAGTACAGCATTGTGTCTCCTCACTTACCAGGATTAAATACTTTATATTTCCTGTCTTTGTTTTCTGCTAATTTGGTCTTCCTCCAAAATTTACTGAAGATGCTGATGTTTCCCTGGAGGTGGGACCCACTTCTGAAGATGCAGCATCTTTCACTGTACAGATGGTACAGATACAATTATATAAAGAAATGTCTTCATTTATCCTACATGTTAAAGAGCATTTTCCCACAAAGTGTTGTTGAAATTTTTGTTATGAATAGAGAGGGTTGCAGGAATGCTTTGTTTCATTGTTTGTTCTGAGAATTAATAACAGAGAATCAAACATGTGTAATAAGTGCTCTTCCTCACCTGATACATGTCTGTGTTTGGATTAATTTTCAGGCCTCACTATGTAGCACTGCAGTGTTTCTGGGCCTGGTGATTTTCCTGTTTAACTGATGGCAGCTCTTGTTTCCTTTGCAGTGATAGTCCGAGCTGCTGACTGCAAGAAGGTGTACCAGATAGAGCTTGCTCCCAAAGAAAAAATCATCATCCTCATCTGTGGTCGGAACCATCACGTCCACCTTTACCCCTGGGCCTCTCTGGATGGGTCAGAAGGGAACTTTGACATTAAGCTTGCAGAAACTAAAGGCTGCCAATTGATTACAACTGGAACACTAAAGAAGAGTTCTTCTACTTGTTTGTTTGTGGCTGTCAAACGACAGGTTTTTTGCTATGAAATTCACAGAACTAAACCTTTCCACAAAAAATTCAGTGAAATTCAGGCTCCAGGAATTGTACAGTGGATGACAGTGTTCAAGGACAAGCTCTGTGTTGGCTACCAGTCTGGGTTCTCTCTGTTGACCATCCAGGGAGATGGACAATCTATAAACCTGGTAAATCCTAATGACCCCTCGCTTATCTTCCTCTCCCAGCAGTCTTTTGATGCCCTTTGTGCTGTGGAGCTCAGTAATGAGGAATTCCTGCTTTGCTTCAGCCATATGGGAGTTTACGTCGATTCGCAAGGTCGAAGGTCACGCATGCAGGAGCTAATGTGGCCTGCAACTCCTGTTGCCTGTAGTATGTATATGTTTTTCTGTTGCCATATCCCTGTTGCTGCTTTACTTGTCAAAAAAGTACTCAGCATTGTATTCAATTTTGCTTCAGTTTGTCTTTGATTATCGAGTTTAAGTTTTGGTGAGTTAACAGACACGTGGTTCTTCCTGGGGGTAGTTTTGGACTTGGAGATCCTGGATGCTGCAAGAAATGCTCTGTTTTATTACAGGACACAGAAGAATAAATAGTGGAATGCAAAATAATTTTTAGAGAAAATAGTCCTGTATTACAGTGACCTGATGAGGTCTCCAGGGTGAGAGAAGGATGAGAATCTTGTTTCATGATCAGAAGGCTGGATTTATTGATATATGATCTATAATACATTATAACTATACTAAAAGGAATAAGGAGAGAAGTTGCAGAGGCTGCTAACCTAAGAATAGCATAGCAAAGAATCTAAAAACAAGAGAGTTCTCTGTCACTGTGTTCCAGAGAGCTTGCCTGTGATTGGCCCTTAATTGTACACATGGAACATGAACCAATCACAGGTGCATCCTATTGCATTCCACAGCAGCTGATAATCATTGTTTACATTCTCTTTCTGGGGCCTCAGCTTCCCAGAAGATGAACAAGTCCCAAAGAAAGGATTTCTATGAAAAAATGTCTGCGACAGTCCTGGATGCAGGACAGTGCAAGACTACCTGTGTGTGAAAGTCTATAAAGATTTTTGTTCACCTAGAGAGCATAAATGTCCAGTTGCCTGTAGGGTGTCTTCTGTGTACTGTTCTCAAATTACAGTAGAAAGTTGAAGAAGAAATGTAACTGCAAGTCTGAAGGTTCATAAAGATAATAAGAGATTAAAATTTTCTCCTTTTGGTTTTAATTTTAGGGGGACGGTATCCAAAAGTAGTATAGGTGAGAGTAATATTTAAACCACTCTGCTTGTTTCAGGAGCATTGGTTATCAGCTTGGTAGAACAGAGGCACATGCAGAGCATTTTTCAATATTCAGTAGTCAAAGGCAGGTCATGATAAATCTGGTGTTTCTATTTGAAGCTCAAATAGCAATTAAAATTTTTTGAATGATTGAAAGCAATAAATAGCTTTTTGTTTAAGTAGTACAGCAAGGAGTTAGGTGGATCAGGCCAGGCCCTAATAGGAATGTGTTTAATTGTATTTGATTTGAAGTGAAATTGTTTGCTTACTTTACTCTGACCTAGTTCTGAACAGCAGTCTGAAGCAAAGTCCCTAGAAAACAATGTAGTGGGAAATTTATTTTAAAACACTATTAGCTAAAACTAATGTTTCCTTTCCCTTAATCAGCTTTACAGTTTTTTGCATTTCAGCAAACTAGACTTGCTAGTTAATGGTTTTGTCTGTTATTATTAGAAGTGTTCTTACTGTAAACTATTTTATAACATTCTTGGATGTGCAGTCCTGAGTGGTGCTGGCCTCAGGCTGTTTTTGTAGAAAGAGCAACATTTTCTGCTGCCAAAGGAAACTGAATTACTTCCCTTTTCATTAGCCTTGTCCTCACTCCTCAGTCCTAGTGTCTGTCACTAGTGATGGTGGGTTTTTTTAACTATCCCATCAGGAGGCTGTAAAATTACAGAATGATTGGGTTGGAAGGGATCTTAAAGATCACCCACTTCCAACTCCCCTGCCATGGGCAGGGGCAACTTCTATTAAACCAATTTTCTCAAAGCTCCATCCAACCTGACCTTGAACACTAGCATGGATGGGGCAGCTTCTTCCACACTGTCCTTGAGCAACTTGTTCAGTACCTCACCACCCTCACCATAAAGAATTCCTTCCTAATATCTAGTCTAAACCCATTCTCAGTTTAAAGCCATTTCTCCTGTTGTATCACTCCATTGCCTTGTAAACAGTCCCTCTCCAGCTCCCTTGTAGCCTCTCCAGGTACTGGGAGGTGCTGTGAGGTCTCCCCAGAGTCTTCTCTTCTCCAGGCTGAGAACAGCCCCAGTTCTCCCAACCAGTCTTTGCAGGGGAGACCAATAAGTGGAAGTGATCCTGCTGTGGTAAACACCATGTTGTAGAGAGGTTTTGGGCTAAAGCAGAGAATTTGTGTCTGGGCCAGTCAGTGCCCTCACCCCAGGAGAGGGCAGGGTGACACTGGCCCAGCTCTGTCACCCCAGCTGGCCCATCAGGGCTGTCCCTGCTCCAGCCTGTGCTGGTGTCCTGTGTGAGCCTGCATGGGTGTCCTTGGCTGCCCTGCAGCCTGGGACAAAGCCCTGGAGCCAGTGTGGGTGTCCTTGGCTGCCCTGCAGCCTGGGGCAAAGCCCTGGAGCCAGCTGGGCTGGGGGCTGCAGCCTGGGCCAGCCAGTGCAGGCACTGACAGAGCTCTCTGAGAGCCACTTCAGACCTGGGCAAGCTCATCAGCTGTGCCTGGCACGTGCCAGCCTTGGCTGCAGATGGTTTCTGCCTGATGCTCCCTTCTCCCTCTTGGTTTGAACATCCACACCAGCCAAGACCACATGCAATAGATGCTTGACCATAAATCACTTCTGTGTTACATTTTTATGATAGCTGTCCAAGGCATTCTTTTAATGAATTTAAAAAATAGCACCACAACTGTACTTCAGTTCTTCTAAGAAGATTCTGTGATGTGTTTAGTGTCCTACTGGGTTATTTTCATTTTGTTTATTGAAGCATCTTCTCTCTGTTAAATCCCTTAAGTTACTAGTAACTGCTTTTTACATCAGGAGACAGTCTTTACATGAGCAGAAGCATGTTGATACAAAGCTCTAGAGATCTCTGCTTTTTGTTTGACCTAAAATAAACTTGTCTGCTGATGCCTTTTAAGCTTTTAAAAAAAAAAAAGTTGAAAAGAGAAAATGAGTTACGGGCTTTAAGCATTGTGACATTTTTCTGTCGACTTGATGAAAGTAACCCATACATGAATATCTAAAGCTAGAAAATTGTAAGCAAAAGAGGAAGGAAATTGAGAGCAGATCTGCATCATGAGTTCATGACCCAGCTCACAGATGGTGGCTTTCTCATCTCCTCTGCACTCAGCAGATGTGTAGTTAGTTTGGTGCTTCTGAAGTGAAGTAATCCGTAGCAAAGCTGGCTGCTCAGTTCCTACCACCTAGCAAATTTGTATGCATGTGAAAACTTCAGATGCCATTTTGCAATTTCATGAAATGGCAAGGTGAAGTTTTAAAAAATACTGAAAGGGTCAAATTTAAATATTTCCATAATGCTGATAGTTGTCCTTAGCAAATTTATTCTCACAAAAAAATCTGTTTGAAACTGGGGCTTTGAAAATGTGTTTTAAAATGTATCTTGCACATAGTGGAAAACTTGTAACTGTTGAAATCTGCTCAAATGTTTGTCAGTTCTGCACTACTGAAATGACATTAGGGTTTTCTGTTTGTTTTCAATCAATGCAGGTTGCAATTCTTCATATGTAACAGTGTATAGCGAGTATGGTGTTGATGTGTTTGATGTTAACACTATGGAATGGGTCCAGACTATTGGCCTGAGAAGGGTAAGTCATTTTCTTTGGGTATTGAACTTAATTGAGTTATTTTCAAATGAGGTGTTTCTTCAGAGTGTATGCTAGACTTGAGGTAATTCTCTGTCTCCTTCCTCAAAACAGATCAGACCATTAAACATGGATGGCACACTGAACCTCCTTAACTGTGAGCCACCAAGGTTAATATATTTCAAGAACAAGTTTTCAGGTGAGTCCTGAACAAGGGGAGAAATGGAGAACTCATTCTAACCAGTTAATTTTCACCATGTTACCTTTGCACTAGATGAAATTTGTGTTGAATGTGTCTAGGTCAGGCTGTACCCTGTAAGTGAAATTGCTTTGTGCTGTTACAGCAGGAGCTGGCCTCAGTGTACCAGAAACCTCTGACAACAGCAAGAAGCAAATGCTCAGGACCAGGAGCAAAAGAAGATTCGTATTCAAGGTTCCCGAGGAAGAGCGGTTACAGCAAAGGAGGTAAGAATTTATTTGTAAATTTGTAAAAAATATCTGAATATACATGATGACATGCAGAGACTGGGAATGCTAATAGAAAAAAATCACTCTTGTTTTTTTAGGGAAATGCTTAGAGACCCTGAGCTAAGGTCAAAGATGATTTCTAACCCAACGAATTTCAACCACGTGGCTCACATGGGACCAGGAGATGGAATGCAGGTCCTCATGGACCTCCCACTGGTAAAATACATTTATAAGGGAGGGATACATATGTGCATTTGTTCTTGCTCACAAAAGCTGTGAAGATGAGCTGGATGGGCTCAAGTGTTATCCCTGTACCGAATTCTTCTTTAAATCCTTTTGAGAAAGGTGAACCTTCCTGCTGTGCAATGCTTCTAAATCCTGTGCAAGGAAATATTGTTAGCTGACTTATGAATGAGACACTGAAAGACAGATATCACTGCCAGGAGCTTGTTAGTAGTTTTGTATATAATCAATCTCTCCTCCTTCCTTTTTCTTGTTTGTCTTAAAACAACAGGATGAGTTTCCTTTCCCCTCATCCTCTCAACATTCTGCTCTTGGTATCACCCCCAACAGGCTTTGAGCACGTCTATCACATGAGCCCTATCTCTGCTGAAATCTCTCTCCAGAGTGACCATTCCTCACTGCAAGGCTCCCTTCTGCTTTCTTCCTCTTCCTGTCCCTCCTCTGCTTCCCTAGCAAGGGTAGGAGTAGCTGCAAACTGTTAGGAACTGGAATATGGTATGCTTGTGGCACTTCACCAATTCTAGAGCTATAACAAGGGGAAAAAACTAATGCTGTGGAGGTAACTAAAATGCATGTGACTTGCAGTGCTTTATAGCATTAATTTTTATTTTGTATTTAACTAATACAGCATTTTATGAGCTAGTTTAGTTTTAAAACTACAAGAGGAAGATGTGAAGGTACACTTTTATGTTCTGTATGTACCCTTCACCTAGAGCTGTTAGTCAGGCTTTCTCTTGTCTTTCTCAGGTAGCCCAGATATGGGTCAGGCATTTGTCATTTCAGCAGGAGGAGGAAGGAAAGCAGAGCTGTTAGTACAGTCCCTGCCCCTTCATAGAGGGTTTGCTGGCTGACAGGTTCCAGTGGCTGCTATGGGGCTTAGTTCTTTCTCTGTCTTTCTCAGGGTTTGTGTCTGTTACTGAAAATATGTGGATGTGGTCAAGTAAGTTCAGTTTTTCTACCAACACTGGGTTGTAATAGCTTGAAAAGCACAGTAAAGTTTTCATGAGTAACAACTTCTTCTTGGATAGCTTTTGTTGCTGGCTAACAAAGTGTTTCATTTACACTGTAGAGTGTCCTACCTCCTGCCCAGGATGAAAAATCCTGTCAGTCTTCAGCCAACCTGTCACGGCAGCAGCAGCAGCAGAGAAACAAAACCTACATCTCATGGCCCTCCTCAAGTAAGGCTGGAACAAGCTGCTCACTCTGAGCTGTAATCTGTGATGTCAACAGGAGCTGTAAATTGCTTTTTGTCCTTCCCTCTGTGCAGGTGGCAGCGATGTGGGAGCAGCCATGCCTTCCCGAAGCATGTCCGACCCCGACCAGGAGTTTGACAAAGAGGTAAAACACCTTCTGTGCATGGACACCCCCAGTGTCCTGTTGGCATAGATTGCTCTCTTTTTCCAATAAATTACATTCCCAAGGAAATACTTCGTGGAGATGTTTTCTTTCCACAAGTATTTTTCCCAGGAAAAGTTAGATAAGCTAGCACAAAGGCAAAGCTGTGAAAAGATCTTCTGATGGTGATATTTTAAGAAATGTAATGTCTTCGATTAAGCTTTATAGGCAACGGAAATTTGACTAATTGATGAAATGTCCTCAAAGCTCCTAAAAATGTTCTCTGGGATATTAGCATAGAATAGCAAAGTAATATGACTACTTAAGTAATTTTCTGTGCTGCCTTAAGGAAGACTTTTTGTCATGTAGCTTGAGAAAGAATAAAATTTATAATACACAAAACTGCTTTTAGCAAGAATAAGAGTATGTGCCAGTAGTCACCAAACTTAAAATGTCTTGGCTCTACAAAACTGATCCATGTAAACTATCTTCTTCTAAATAGAGAAGATACATGGTTTTTGGATCTGTGATTTATTATGTGTTTTCTTCTAAGCTTTGCTAAAGCACTGTCTGTGCAAGGAAAGTGTTAGGAATTATTCCTGGGAAGCTAAGTCCCTGAATAAGATTTTTTGAGTGCTTTTTGGTACCCAACTGCAGGCCCATATAATGCTCTGAAGTTTGAAGCATGTCCAGACTTTTGCTGGCTGCCTTAGCACACAGCAAGTCCAGAGTTCTGATCACACCTGTGGTCTGACTTCCTTTGTAACCTTCAGTTAGCCATTAAAAGCACATGAAAGTGGGGATCTCTAAACACAGGCATTTTTGAAACAGTCTTGGTTTTCAGAGATGGTTATGATGGACTGTGTTAGTTATTCTGCTCACCCTTCCCAAACTCCATTATATTCCATGCTCTGTTGGTAATTGTTGTTTATAGGCATGACTAATGATAGATTAGAAAGGGAATTTTTACAATGTTTTCTCTTTTTGGTAGCTCTTACAATTTCTTATGACTTCTTATGTTAAAAAAAAATAGTAGTTTGAAACTGGAAAGAGGCTCTAATAACACCTTTTGGCTTTATACTACTTCCCCCATGGCTTTTGACTTTATGAACCGCATCATGTTAGGATAATCTTGTTATAGATTATCTTATTTTTGTTCAAGCCATGCAAAATTTTCAGAACAGCATTCTTGAAGGATGTTACCTTTCAATCTATTTGCTAAGTATATATTTCTCTTTCTTGAAAATAACTTGCTGCAGTGGTAACAGATTTTTTTTGTGCAGTATTTCATTAGCTGTAAATCTGTGCAGTGCTCAGAATTGTAACACACCAAAATAGTGGGAAACTTGCCAGCCATCCTGTTGAAGTGAGACCAGCCTGTGAAGGCAAATATCCAAGGACTAATCTCATACTGTGGAAATAACTGTGGATGGTCTTTATTAGATATTGACGTAGGACGTACCCGCTAAGTGTATTCTGTTTCCAGATCTCCAGCCAGATTCTTGGCAGCCTTCACTCGTTTGTCAGGCACTTCACAAGCTTGTTGCTGTTTTGTAAACAGCTCATAATGCTTGTTTCCTTCCTCCTCACCAAACTGAAGATGATTTGACCATAGTTTTTATGTGTTTACATGGGCAGATAAAGCTACTCCTGGGCTATAAAAATTGCCTAAAAATTGCAGGCTGGTAAATTCTGAACAACAGTCTGCAGAGAGATGTATTCCATCAGGAAAGCTTTGCAATGGCTAAAGGAGAGGAGCCAGAGATGTAGCAATTCCCACATACTTTACCATAATTCCTGTTGCATCAGAGGTCACCTTTGGGACTGCACTAGAGCCTGTTGATGGTAATGGAAGTAATTGCTTGAATGTTTAACCATGGAGTTAATCTAATGCACGCTGCTTTGTAGGTGTTGCTCACCCTCATTTTTGAGTGCCTTTGAAAGCTTTTGAGTGTAAAAAATTCAAGTAAACATAATTCTTTAATGTTTCTCATTAACAGCCTGATTCAGACTCCACCAAACACTCTACTCCTTCGAACAGCTCAAATCCAAGTGGTCCCCCAAGTCCCAACTCTCCTCATAGGAATCAGCTTACGCTGGACGGGCTGGACCAGTCGACCTGTGACGCGTAACGCCGCCGCTCCTGTCACCCGCTGCTCCACGGCGTTCACTGCAGGGCAGAGCCTCTCAGATGCTAGTGCCAAGACTGACACAGACTCTCTAGTCTTGTACAAGAATAATTATATATCCAGATTGTAGATACAAACTATGGAAATGAAGAAAATTCTTTACTAATAGCGATTGAGCTTTTTATGCAGAATTGTTCACTGCTCGGTTACGGTTGATTCCTCTCTGCACAGCTGTGACAGTTTTATTGCATAGGAGCATTTAAGGCCACTGGTAAATAGTCTTATTCTTATGGTGAAAGAGAAATAGAGTTACTGATAATGTTGCTACAATATCAGGAATATTATTTTTCTATAGAATGATGTAACGTCTGATTAGCAGGAAATCCTTTTAGACAGAATTTGGACTTCTGAATAGGAAATGTGAGCAGGGCTAGTTACATCCTCAGATGAATACACTTTTCCCTTTTTCCTGTAACTGTTTTTTTCCTAAATCTTAAGGAGAATGGTAGGAAGCTGTAGGTCGTTTCCAACATCAGTAGAGTCACCAGGAAGTCAAAGAAAAGCTGGTTATAGTTTTGTGGCCTTTTAATTCATTTAGCCATTACATATACAGCTGCATAACTGTCTTTCTATCTTTCTACCAACTTTTTAGTCTTGTACATAGGACTACTGACAGTTATCTCTTTACCCATTCCCTGCTTTTAGTCCTCATCAGTCATTAGTCAGGGCTTTAAAATACTGCTGTGAAAAAGGTTTTACTCCTAGTTCCTGCCTTTCTCCTCCTGAGAAGTTGTTTCTCCTGGGTTTTTGGTGTAAGGACACACTATGCTGTTTAGCTAGCAAGCCTTCTTATGGACGCATTGCCCTCGGAGTCTGCTTGGCCCGGGGGCTGTATCGCACTAAAACATCAGTCTGTTCATTGGCTACCAAAGTGGAACGTGAAGGATGTGTAACTGGGGGTGCTGCTTTTCTCATTAATTGTATCCTCACCTGCATGAAGACCCCATGATTATTAATCAAGTATTGATCATGTAGAAAAATGCACAACACACTCCTGTATATTTTGCGATGGCCCACGTGCGGTGATGTTTGCGTGTATATTTAATCTCATGCTTCCATGTATTATACATTTAGTACTCAAAGATTTGTGACCATGTTTCATTAAAAGCTTGTAATTAATTCAGTGGCTGGCATATCCAGTTTGTCATTGTCACACTAGTGTGCCTTCTGTGCCAATTTTATGACAGTTGGATGTCACTTATTTAAAATTCAGTTTAAATGGGCTAATGATATACCAATGGCTAATGTTCTTTTCTGAAACACTGTATAGGACGTGCACTTATCTTTAGTTTAAACTGAGTGTTCTAGTCAACATTTAATCCTGTTACGTTAAGTGTTCGACAGTACTTGCTCTTTTTCTCAGATTCTTGATAAAGGGGCTCAGTTAGAGCTGGACACTACTGCTTTGGGGGTTTTCTGGTTTTTACTTTTTTAATGTAAGTCTAAGTCTTTGTAATTATTGAATTGTGAGAACATTTTTGAACAATTTACATGTCAATAAAGCAGAAGAGGGAGGTTTTAAAGTTTATAGTCGTCTGTCTTGACATCTGAAAACAATCTACCGCTGACACTTGCTTCAGTCTCATGGTAAATTCACTTTGTTCACATGGACATTTGACATAAACTGAAGGTATTTTGGAGCTCCCAAAGCACTACAAGAAAGGTGCACACTGCTGAAGGTGAATGAGTGTTCAGGAGCCAAGGAAGTCCTTTTGGTGGAATACAGCACTGAAATTTTGTGCCCTTGATTTTGTTTTAGTGTTGTCATGTCGTTGATTTGCTGGCTCTATTAATTCGTTTTTAAATGATTTATATGACTCGTTAGTTACAGCTGAAGCATGGTAAGGAGGCTGCAGGGTCTAATTATGCATCTTAAGTATCATAAAACAATAAATATATTTCACTTGTCCAAGCAGTACTCCCAAGGAAAGGCTTAGGAACATTTCAAGGATTGGTATGTGAATGGTGCAGCCCCTCACACAGGGTTTTTTAAAGCTCTCCTCATGCTCTGGTATTTGAGCACCATAGAGCTCAGTGTAGCTAGACAGTGCCAACATCTCCTCTAGGCTGTCCTAGGTAAGCATCTCTCATCCCTTATGGAGTGCCAGGTGTTCCTGAATTGCTTCTTGGTTTGTCTCACCCTACACAGGGAAGGCCGAACTGAGTGCTTTGCACCCTGCTGTTCTTGCCTGACCAAACCTCCCTGGGCTGGGCTGGGTTGTTTTAGGAAGGTGCACCCACACTGCCCTGGGGATGGGCTGACAGCTGACAGGAGATCTGAGGGCTCTGTGCTGGAAGCCTTCTCACAAGTATTCATGCTAATCAGCCTTTGACTTTTAAAAAACATTTCTCCTGCTCTTGAGCTGATTTTTCTCTGCACAGTGAGGGCTTGGGATGACAACAAAGTCTTTAATTATGGGGGTATTAAATCATAGCACTCAGCAGTGCCAGGGCTTGGTTATAATTTAAGCAGGAGAACATTTCTAGAAAAATTAATTAATTGCTCATATGAATACATTATTCTTTTTTTTTTCCCTGCTTAAGTCTGGCCAAGCAGAATTCCTTCCCAAGTCCTCCAGCACAGCCCTTTCCAGATCATCTTTTCCCTTACGGATTTTGATTCTGGTTACCTAAAGAGTCCTCTTGAGCCCTCAGGAAAATTTTCATAAATGCAAGCATTCAGGTGAAATGATTCTCTGACAATACCAGTCTGGGACTGAAAGTGAGGAATTGAGCTATGCAAGGAATGAGAGTAATTTGGTGTGTGCCTGTTTCTCTGCTCATTCCATTTTCACAGAGGTATGACATCAGGTCCTGAAGCTGGAGTGGTGGGTGGAACTCACTGGAACAATTGGTCACTTCTAGCACAGATCTTTTCCCCAAAAAGCTGAGTATTTTGGAATACATCCTGCTATCACTTGCCACCCAAGAACTAAATTCATGTGCCACCATCTCTGTCTACAGAACAGGTGTGCTGGGAATAAACAGCTTCCTAAACAGGTGCAATCTGCTGGAGAGGGAGGTGCATAAAATCTGGCTTTAACTTTGCAGGGTAAGGGCTTAGCACAACTAAGTCACAGGGAGGAGACTTCAGAGTGGAAATGCTGGAGGTGCTGCAGGCACCCTTGTTCTGCACAGCACCAGATTGGCATCCCTGGGAGAAAGCAGATGTGTAAAAACCTTGAGAGCTGGCACTGGTAGCCTGAAGCACTGAGAAGCAGCAAAGTGTCTGAGGGAGGAGGTGACTGGGGGAACTGAACTGCACCTTGAGGTGCAGTTAAGCAAAGTATTAATGCATGGAAGCTGGTGTATCATGACCAGAACCCTTGTCTTGCTGAGTTTAGCTTATTTTGAACCAAAAAGAACACATGGCATTCTTGCATGCCAGGCTACTGGAGCATCTTGTGTTCCAGTTTGCACCATCTGCTCTGGATGAAGCAGCTCTGGCAGGCAGAAGGGAGGAGGACAGTCCAAAAATCAGTGTTCAGCTGCCCAGCCCTTGCCTTTCCCTGCTGTGGCAGCAGCTCTGCCCGACCCCTGTGAATGTGGCTCCCCTCTCAGCTGCCCCTCACCATTCCTCCCTGGCAGCCCTGGGGCCCTGGGCAGCTGCCACCCTTGCCCGGAGCAGGGCAGCCCCTTCCTGCGGGGGCAGAGCTGCTCTGGTGCCGGGGCTCGGCTCTGGCACGGCAGCACACGGGGCTGGAGGGGCTCTGCTTGCGGGGAGGGGGTTCCATGGGCACAGGACCACGTCAGGAAGACAGGAGGGAAGGCACGGTGCCAGCACGATCTCAGTGATTCTGAGATGCCCTAAACATGTTTTTGGGAACCGAGGGTGGTGATGAGACCAGGTATCAGCTGCAGGCCTGGTGTGGGATGCCCAGGGATGCCGAACGCTGGCAGGAGCCGGTCCCAGCGGTGCCTGGTGCTCAGGCCAGCGCTGCCGGCAGGGTTAGCTGAGGACAGGAGCAGAAGACAGCAGGACGTGCTCAGCCAGCGGGAGCTGCAGTGCTGTGCTCCAGCCAGAGGAGGAACATGGACTAAGGAATCAGCCCCTTCCCTGTCCTTGCAGCAAATATTTTCCCTGCTCCCCAATAAGCTGCAGCACTTTTTTTGTCATCTGACTGCACAGGTTCATGCAGGTTTATTGATGCTCTCTCATAGATAAAACCCTCAGATTTTTTCAGCCTCGGCTCCTTTGCTGTTCCTTACGCAGTCCCCGCTCTGCAGTCCCGCGGGGACGGGCGGTGCAGGGCCCTGCATGCTGATGGACGCGGCCGGAGCTGCGGCCCCGCAGTGCCTTGGCCGGCCCCTGCACTCCGGTGAGACCCGTCCCTGCCAAATGCCCTCCTGCCACTGCTCCCTCCTGCTGAAAGAGATATAAAAATATACATTCATCGAGCCAAGTCTGTCTTTGGGCTCTGGGATATTTTGAGGACTCTGCCACAATCTGGGTTTGCTCAACTTCTGTGAGCGGCGAAGGGAAGGCACCGTGCTATGTGTTGGTGCCCATTAATAGTGTGCAGGTGGCTTTTTCTTTTGACACCCTAGCAAGCAATGACTCCTGACATCTTGCCATTAACACTAATGCATTTTGAATTAGTCTGTCACAGTGGGGGACCCCTGACACTCAGGACCAGAAGCAAAACAAAGCCATCAGGTGCCCAGACCTGCCGTGCACAGCCTCAGTGACATAAACCATCCATGCAATGTGCTGCTTACCAAGGATGTCTGTGAATTAAATTCCTTGTTTAGGCAGGATCCCAGGAGACACTTGTGTACCAACCCCTTTGCTCTGCCCTGCCTGCAGCACGGGCTGTGTGTGTCGGGGTGCAGCAGTCATGGATACAATCATGGATACAATCACGGGTACACCTGTTCTCCCAGCAGCTCTCGATCCCAGCATCACAAACTGACTCTGGTGCTTCATTTTGTTTCTGCAGAGC